GTGCTTATGTTGAGACGTGAGTTAATTTTGTCAGGCTCAGTACACGCGAAAGGCACTCGCCTCTGTAGACTAATCGTCATACGATATGTTACCATTCATTCTTTGATTAAGAGACGCGAGCGCGCTTCGCTTACATTTCATTAACAAGTTCATGAATGAGTTTTAACGCGTTTGATCGATTTACTATTAGATTTAGTGGAAGAACACCTTTGAGCTCGTTGAACCACTTTGGCTTGAACACTTTCTTCTACGTATTCCTGAATTAAATAGCCAAAACTCGTTAGAACTCATCCATGAACTTGTTGATCAAACGTACGCAGATCGTGCTCGCGTCTTTTAGTCAGAGGATAAGTGGTATATGTTGTACATGTTGTAACATATGAAAATAAACCAGTAGTCGCAGAAGCGGTATTGCTTGCGTCCTCAAAGAAACTTTAGTACTTCCTCATATGAATCCTTCAGTCACAATCCTCAGTTATAGCGTAAAAACAACATCCACTACTCGTCGCAGTATTAGAATAGCTGGTCTTGAAGGTGCTATTGGTCTTGAATTTACTCCTACCTCCAAGACCAATAGCATTAGGATATACCGTTTCTGGCACAGTCCGAGAGCAAGCATCTTTTCTGAACTTCGCCTCTTAGCTTGTTTTTATTTCTGGCACTAATACGGATTGACATTCATGGTATAGTGGACCTCTTAAGTAGTTCACGTGATCTTTTTATGACACGTAAAAAGCTAAAACGCATCGATTAAGAGTTTACAACATCAGCTCAAAGCGTTCCTGTTTTTATTCCTACAAAAAAGCGGAGGCACGGGGTCAGATAGGGGAGAGTGAAGGAGGAGGTCAGGTAGCCGGTTTTTGACTCGCTGTTTTCTCAGATAATCGTTTTCATAAGAAAATGTGCAAGCAAAGCGACAGTACGTATGGCGTGATTACTACACGCTCAACTGCGTCTATTCGATACTTGCAGCCGTCGTGGAGTAAATGTTATGATACCTATGGACAGAAGCGAACTCATTGTACAAGAAAAGTTTTGTTTTGCGATTTGCAGTAGATTGTTTGCAGTCAATTTGAAATGAATGTCTTGTTTCTTTATTCTTCTATCTTCTATCTACAAACGCTGGGGGTGAGAGGGAGGGGGTAGAGAACGGGGTGGAGGGTCGTGCTGCATTCCTACCCGGGGGTGGGGGGGGGGGTACCCGGCGGTTGTATGCCACGCCGTTTGCTCAACCCTAGTCTAGAGCTAATTAAGGTGAGGTTTAGAGGCATAGTTGGTTGGAGCTTGATTAGGGCTAGTTACAGTATGCCGCGGGGGAGCAAAATGGGAGGGCTCCGGAGCACAAAATGGGAGATCTCCGGTGCACAAATGGAAGGTCTTAGGAGCACAAAATGGGAGGGCTCCGGAGAACGAGTGGCAAACCCCCGCTGGGGAAACTCGCGGCTCTGCTATTTCTGCTCCGGAGATATGCCGTCGACTGTCTGAGTAGGTGTTGACTGTGCTTGGCTATGAAGCGCGTAGTAAATTCCTTTGTCTCTCAGCTTTTTTTGTGACATCGCCTTATAGTCGCATTTGATGTGATACCTACACATTAGTGGCGGACCGCGAGGGGGGGGCGCCCCCCAAAATTTGAATTAGCCTCGTAAAAAAATTTTTTTGGGAGCGTAGCTAAGGCCACGCCCCTTTTTCCAGATTTTAGGGATTGGGGACCCACGAAAATTTTGAGAAGCACCCCAAAAATTTTTTCGGAGTGCGTGGCTGATGCCACGCACCTTCATTGGAAAAAAATTTTTGTCGCCCCCCCCCCCCGGTCCGAAATCCTGCGACCGTCACTGCTACACATATCGGAAAGTTTATTCTAACTAGTCTTGAGCAATTTAAGCTTTCACTACTTTGTTCTAGCTATAAAATTCATCGATCAGTGTGATTAAACTTCAGAAAACATATAATAAAGCTATAGAACTTGAGAATATTCAGTACAATTGACGTCTTTGAAATTTATATTCTTACTAGCTGGCTTACCCGGCTCCGCCCAGCCCTGTCAAAACACTATGCTGAAGCTCTCATCCGTACCCCTGTACAACCTTTTCCTGAGCTTAAGTCTATATTCCAATTCCCCTGTTCCCGCTGTGTGAGTAATCAGCATGCTCACTTACACTGTGCCAGCTCCCAATCCCCGTAACTAAAACTTTGCAAAAAATCGACAAAATTGATAAAAGTAGCAAATTGTTCTAAGTAATAATATTGTATTCGCAATCAGCATGCTCGATCACCCCCTGTGCCAACTCCCAGCATTGCTTTCAAGCTTTGCATAAAAATCGATAAAATCGGCAAAACCGATGTCGATCGATAAAGGAAGGAAGCCTATGGCACCCGCCCCTCTCCGAAGTGTGTTTGTGCCAAGTTTCTAAATCGGTTGAAAAATGGAATTGTATTCGGAATATACATACAACAGACATTCAGCTTCATATAGGTTGATGCAAAAAAAAGTTTTGCAGGTTTTTTCAATCCATCGGCAAGCACGTTAGAATGAAGATAAACTAACACTTTGAAATGTGTCCAATGCAGAGTTTCTTTCTCTTTCCAGCTGCTTAACTTCCATTGTGTCCCGTTGCGACGAGATAATTGCTGGAAATTGTAATCACTCGCTTTTACCATGTCTAACTTTCGCTGACTTTCAAAATTTGTGTATGAGACTTCCGGAGTAGCCCGAATAACCACCAGATGAGGCAAACCTTTTGCCAACTTATGCAGTTTTTTCCTTGTTTTCAGCTGATTTTATGGTTTTTGCTAAATAATTTTAAAAAAGCCTTGTGTTTTGGAAGAATTGCATAACCTGTTATTGCACCAAACTGCAAAACCTACAGAATACTGAGGTTTCAACATTCGATTATTACAAAGGCTACCTGAGCGATTTTCGCTTGGAATTATGAAGATTTTGGAACATAAATTACGGTGCACACTCTTAAAATTGAGAAATACTGCGTTTTTTTTTCAACAAATTTCGCCTGTCTCGGCGAAAAAGACAAGTGTTAAAGGGAGAAGAAGAAGTTGCATCGAATGGTGACTGAAGTGTTTCACATTTTATGTTCTATAAGGTTAAAATAGGATGAATGTGAAATTTGGTCACTTCAAAAAATAAATCGCAGAAATTCTGAAAGACAAGCCGTAGGGCCACAAAAAATTGCTTCTGATGGCAAAAGGTTATCTGCTGGTTATTAGGGCTCCTCCGAAAGTCTCATGCAAAAATTTTGAAAATTAGCAAAAGACGGACATGGTAAAAACGAGTTGATATAATTTCCAGCAAATATCTCATCACTCCCGTAACGGAACACAGTGGGAGTTTATCAGTCGGAGAGAGGGAGAAGTTCTGCATCGGATACATTTTGAAGTGTTTGTTTATCTTCATTCCAGCGTGTTTGCCGATAGATTGAAGAAACCGACAAAACTTTTGCACTAACCTATCATAAGATATAAGGAGTTCAAATGGACAGCAAAAGCTCGAAGGAAGTTGCGTGACTTACTTGAACTAGCTTTTTTGACGTGCACACGTGTAAAGGTATGTGAATGTTAGGATTTTTGGAAAAAAAATTGTAAAACGTGTCAAAGCCATCAGCTTCCTCTTTTTGGCCTAATTCTTCAAAACTTGGCTATTCGTGCTCAAGAATGTCTGCCTCCACCCCTCTACGCCGAATAGTTCCTAGCAATTCGCAGATGAAAATTCCCTGTAATTCTCTCAGCTATGGTCCGCAAAAAGTACGAGAATCAGATGTGAGATGATCACATTTGGAAAAGCTGCTGCACAGTATGATTTGATTTTCCGCGCCATTGAGATTTCGTATCCTTCTTTGATTGAACAGTCATTATGATTATGTCGTTTTCGCACTTATTTAAATTTCCACGATAAATAATGTCATTTAGCAGCTTTACTGAACTCTTTTAGAATAAGAGCAGCGTTGAAGCGTAAAGGTCGAGGAGCAAAACGTGCGGTTTTAACAGTTTTTGCTTTTGGTAATCCACGTAATTTTTGAGTAACGCTATCTAAACTTTGGGGCGTTCCTATCATGCTTTCTAACGTGTACTTGAGCTAGCAGCTAAAAACTAACAGAAAATGCTAGTCGGCCTTCGGTTTCAAACGATCTTACAAATCTTCCACTTGCTTACGCATACATTTTATCCTAAACATTTGCATATGCAGCTCTCAAAATTTTTTTGAGAGGTTGAGAATAAATAACCATAAGGTATTTGCTTCAAGAAAGTGAATATTCGGCATAATTCCGAAAAATTTTGGTATGCTCCCTGAAATTGTAGGTCCGTAACCCAAAAATTTCAGAAAAAAAGGAGCATGGCGATGGTCACGCCCCTCAAGGAAAATCCCCCCCCCCATAAGGCTGATTCAAATATTTTTAAAATTCTATCATAATTTACAAAGATCATAGTCACATAAGTGACTTTCAAAATTTGCGATCCATTTTTAGGGTGGGGGCCACCTCGGTGCACCACCTATTGTACGTATAAATGCCTGATGTGAAGAGTATATTTATGCGCGAACATTTGAAAGATCTGTAGATTTTTAAAATGAAACTCGACTGACGCTTTTGTACAGCTTGCTTCATTCTATTTCATCACTCAGATTTATCGTATGTACAACTTTTTTCGCATTTGATGTTGTTACTAACAAGATACGACGAGAGACGGTATACGTTGTTATACTATCAGCCTCGTTCTTGTAGAATATCCAGCTCCATTTTAGTTAAAATAAGCTTAAGACATTGCTAGATAAATCAATTTAGGAAAAAATGTGGAGTCGTTCAGTTTGTGCAAAGTAAATTATCGTACAATTAGACTCGGGGTGATAGTTATACGACATGTGCGATGAATTTGAAGACCCAAGCAGAAGGTCAGCTCTACTGTTACAGATAACGAAAAGAAAATAACTCCGAATCTAACAAGAAAGTTTTTGTGTGATGTATGTGTTATACAATAGAAGCAAAAAGTACCTTTTCATAAAGGCTGTCCAGGTATCCCAAATCACCCACCGCCACATCAGTAAGCCCAAGATGGTTTCTCAGTTTTGCCATTCTTAGAATTACAAGCTGAAAACGATTAATAAGACTGAAACACGAAGTAAGCGTCACCTAATGTAAAGGCTATAGAACGAACCCTTCTGACTTCTCGTTGAAGAAGTTTGTAATGTTTTTCAACGAGTAATCACAGCGAACTCTACTCCGAGAGTTCTCTTTGATTCGCAAAGGGCTTAGATGACCATACTTTGATGTTAATTTAGCTCATGTAGTGTCGCATTTCGCGCAATGAAAGCAATTTTTTGGCACATGTTGAGCAGAATTATGCCGCCACTATCAAACGCGTTACATATTCGAGAAATATTCGAAAAATATTCACATTAAAGGCACCGTCCACTTAAAATCTCGTATTCAATGTTTTTGTCGCCTTCAGGCCTTCTGAAAGCCCTGATTCCGAATATGGAGTTGAAAACTCGCGAAACCCTCAAAAATCCCTGTTTCGAGAAACCTCTGCAACAATGGCAGGCGAGATAAAGCATGCAAGCGACCATAGTCGCCCCGCCTACTTTGCTACTTCCGGAGCGGATTTCTCGCTCCAGAAGCAGTCTTTTGCAACGAAGCTTGGGGGTTTGCCTAGTGTGGGGGCCCACACTAGTATACCATCATAATCTCGCCAATCTCCATTTTGGGTGGACGGTGCCTTTAAGAGGGTTGCCAGGCCGAGGTGTACGACTTGCTTTAAAAGTATTCACCCACTGTTATTCGTTTAGGTAAAGTTCTGTAAAAAGTGTCCAACTTGTTTTAATAGCATGGAGCAAATCGTTGGTCTCTCACTTTGGTATACAATTACTGTAGAGACTCCCAAAAAGTTTCAACAATCTAATTCTTTATCGTTTCAGAAAAACCAAACAATCAAACGGAGTCGCTGAATTTGAATATGCTTTTTACCGTTATCGTTCATCCACAAGTTATGCCAAATAAACCAACAGTATATGGAATGTGATTCTTTTGCCACATAATGCTACGCAATGGTCTCCAAGTGTATTTCAAAAATTCCACACCGTTTGAAAACTTAACAATTTCTTGGAGTCAGTGGTTTAATACTGAGCTTGTTGGACTTTTTTGAGGAATCATAACTTATAATAACGGGCTAAGGATGTTTACGTGACTTTGTCTGTGTGTATGTGAGAGTGTGTCTGTTACGAAATTCGTAGAGCGTGTTCCAGCCAACCTCCTGGGCTCAAATTTTGCAGAGCGCACGAGCAGATTCGTTGAGTGGGTCCCTCAGAAACTGCGTGTCAAACGGATCCACTTTGCATTTGGCGCAAAATTGGGTCCGTGACTCCACTTTTTTCAGAGTCATAGATGTTTTTGCCAAGTAAATGTGCAAGCCATGAACCTAGGCTCAAAAAAGTGACCAGAAGTCCATTACTTTACAAAAACGGCGCCAAAAAGTATTGGCTGCGTAAATCAATTTGACAAGGTTTTACCAGACCATCTGACTAGATTTTTGCACAGAGATGTAGCTCAAGGTGACTGCTGTTCTTATAGCAACTGTAAAGACCATGGAAAAATCAAAAACCTATAAAAATTTGCATTTGTTTTCCTGCAAAAAGTCTCATCCACGCGAAATCACCGATTTCACATAAAAAAGCTTTCGGAATGAGTAATTGTTTACATTTTGTTCGTGATAGTGGCATTGCTCGGTGAGTTCCATTGCCATCATTATGCGAGAATGAGTAGGCCTAGATAGTAGAGCAGTGCGAGCCTCTGCGAAGCAGAGGTGACGCACTGGTTATTTATAACGACAGCCAATTTACATTGCTATATGCTGAAAGTTCCTATGGCAATCGCACAGACATAAAAAGTGATTCTATTTGATTTGCTACATAATGCAATCCAAATTGCAGCTAACTTCACAGAATGATACCCGAAATTTAGGAAAAGCTGCGCATGAGGAGAAATATATATTTTTGCAACGGCGCACTGAGATCATGTGGGACAAGTAACATTCAAACCGTTATAAGTGCTTAGCTGATGTTACATGCATGCAAAAGTTGCTTTGAAAAGAGACGAAAGCAAAGAAAATACTTTTGCGATGAATGCGACGAGATTGTACTGCTATTGTCACGGTTCTATAATCATTACTTATAATAACGGGCTAAGGTTGTTTACGTGACTTTGTATGTGTGTGAGTGGCCCGTAGTAAACCCCCATCAGGGCATCTCTCTTGAGGCGGACCGGAGTTGATCTCATCGCGCCTCAGCACATTGCCAGGGGAGCGAGCAGATCACTTACTGGACGATCGCGTTTTCAACGATGGAACGTTTCTGCCATTTGTGCATTACTAGTCGAATGGATAAGACTAATGCATTCCAAGCGGCATGGCCGTGGTTCGATCGCGGCACCGGCACAATTTTTGCTACTCGGCCTGGCGACCTTTGATAGTGGCCGCTGTCGAAAAAATCGATGATAACCGCTAGCAGAGATTTCATAGGCAAACAACGAGATAAAACATATACACAATATTTTGGAATAATATCAGGAAAAATCACACTTGGCGAGAAATGAGTAGAATAGTAAATTTACCCTCTTGTTATCTAAAGCGGTTTCAAGAAAAACAAGCAACAACTGCAAGAAAACAAAGACAAAAAAACTTTTTTCCGATTTCGTCGCGCAATCAGCTGTTCATCGATCCTCTCTCACTTAGGCGCCCGAAATTGTGCAATTTTGGGAGTTTTGCACCGCAAAAGAACGTCATCTGCGATGTTTCGTAAGTTACTCGGGAGCAACTTACGGGGATTTTCTCTGTGCTCTCCTCTTTAGCACAGTATTTACCTTATGTCGTCGCCCGGCTCATCTCCGATGACTCCGGTCGGGAGCTGATCTCTCTGCCGGGCTTCATCTGAAGCTCACCTGTAGGGTGACCTTGCATATTTACACCACGGAAAGTGGGCAGTCCTCAACTCACCCGACAAAGCCTCATATGAGGGCCTCAGGGGAGATCATCTCCCGTGACCGAGCTTTACTACGGGCCAGTGTGTCTGTTACGAAATTCGTAGAGCGTGTTCCAGCCAACTTCCTGGGCTCAAATTTTGCACAGTGTATGCTATCCGCATGAAAGTCCAACATGCAAAAGCACGAGCAGATTCGTTTAGTGGATCCCTCAGAAACTGCGTGTCAAACGGATCCACTTTGCATTTGGGCCGCCAAATTGGGTCCGTAATTCCACTTTTTGTAGAGTCGTGAATGTTTATGCCAAGTAAATGTGCAAGCCGTTAACTTAGGCCCAAAAAAATGATTAAATGTCCATTACTTTACAAAAACGGCGCCAAAAAGTATTGGTTGCTTAAATGGTCAATTTGCTAAGGTTTTACCAGAGCTTTTGACGAGATTTTTGCACAAAGATGTAGCTCACGGTGACTGCTATTCTTATTGCAACTGTCAAGACCACGGGAAAATCAAGAACCTATAAAAATTTGCGTTTGTTTTCCTGCAAAAAGCCTCATCCACGCGAAATCACCGATTTTACATAAAAAAAGCTTTCGGAATGAGTAGTTGTTTACATTTTGTTCGTGATAGTCGGCATTGCTCGGTGAGTTCCAATGCCATCATTGTGCGAGTATGAGTAGGGCCTAGATAGTGGAGCCAATGCGAGCCTCTGCGAAGCAGAGGTGACGCACTGGTGATTTATAACTAGAGTTTTCAAGCATGACCTTAACTCGGGATTGATTTTTTCCCCAGCTTTTGGTGAAAGGGGTCACTTTCGTTCCGATTCAGGGGTGAAGTGGAAGCGGGGAGTGGGGGGGGGGGGGGAGAAGGGAGCAGTTCTCAGGCTATCTGCCGTATTGCGCAGCATATGAACAACGCACTAAGCTGCACGCTTTTTGAGTTGTTGATAAATACGCGAACACCCCTCTGGAAATTTTTCACTCACCTGAGGTTGCAGCTGGGAAGGAAAAAGGGCTTTGCTTGAGGTATTACCATAACTATAAACTCCATACGGAGCACATTGTTTTGTAAAAGTTAATCTACCAGATTCCATTTTTTACGCTTCATATGCTGTTTTGAGCCACCTCTTTCACAACCGTGTTAAAATACTTGCGAAAAGTGTAAAACATTTAAGGTAAAGGGCGTTTCATGACTAAAAACCGACTTGTTTTTCGCGCACATTTTTGAGTCCCTCTGCATAAACACTTCCAAGCAGAATGACGAGCCGCCGTGTTATTAATCTAGAAAGTGGGGAGGGGGGGGGGGAGAGGGAGTAATGGGAAGGGGCGTAATTTTTATAATCAGAAATTGTTGTATCGCTTTGGTTGTCTTGAATAATTCAGAAACGGAAATTGGTTCTTGAGAATGTCTAATTGTTTAAGTAGACTGGGCTCACGAAATTTCAAAATAAAAGGAGAGTTTTTGACATACACTGATATCATATTGCGTCGATATGCCGCTCGCAGAACTAATTGTCAAAACACGTAAGACGAAGACGAACAAATACTAAGTAAAAAACGTGGAACATTCTGCCCATTCCAGCAGCTATTTTTCAAGATAAGCTTTTATGAGCGTTGATTGGATACATCGATGTCTCAGTTCTAAACCATTGCCAACTTGCACAAATCACAAATTGAAAAACCTTAAATTTGAAACCCACACTAAAAAGGTAGAAAAGTGTAACATTGCAAAAGGTTTATTGAATCTAAGTAAAACTAAGTCTTTTTTGGCAATCTACGATGGAAGCTCTGAACAAGGCAGAGTGTAACACTTGTCGACTTACGCAGTTATTTACATAATGGCACGTTCAAAGAAGCTGAGATTATGGTGCGCCGGGCAACATACAAACGGGATGCAGAAGGAAAAAGAGGTACGACTCTGTAATTGCTGCGGAGCATTACATCATTGACAGATCTCGCTTCATCATCCTCTGCTGTTCAAACTCTGCTCGATCACTTTCCACCTAATAAACACTTCTTATAACGACCGAGTAATGCAAGCTAGTAATCATAACACTCGATGACCTATCTCTTAATATACTAATTTCTGCGAAATAACGAGACCGTCACCTGGCTTAGATAACATCACTGTAGCATGGTCATTCTTCGCTTGAAAGTGAAAAAATCCATGGACATCATTCGATCAGCTCGGCAGTGCGCATCTTTTGAAATACGGTTATACACGGTAGGCAGCCAGGTTTGACAAACGAATACAATTTCAGAACAAGCTACATAAGTCAGTCTGCAGCGATTGAGCATACTGAGGAACATACCGTAAGCGAAAATCAAAAAAGAATTCGCAATGTTTGGCTGCCTACTTGCGCTTTTGTAGATCAGACGGGCACTACTATACACCAAAAAGGATGTGCCTCATCGAGATGAATCGAATGGTGCTTTTGGGTTTATTCGTCTGTTTGAAGAAGATATGAACACACTAGGACGATGTCATTCAACCTAGAGAAGGTCATGTCCTTTTGACGAAAATTATGGTCATTATCCTACAGATTGATACTATTGAAGTGGAAACAGAAATTACTCTAGAAACATAGTCCCTGGGAGAAAAAGAAAGGCTGCATCAAAAAAGGCATATTGACATGATTCGACAGCAAGACGGTTTGAAGGACCTTATATTGCTTGAATACGATAAAATGAGAAGGTCTTATGTCTCAAAAGATGAAAGGCAATTTGTGGCCATGTTCCTCGTTTAAGCTACATGTTTTGACAAAAGGCGAGCTCGCACCACATTTTCGAGCTTATGAGGGGAGGATAAAGTTGCACTGGCAGAAAAATATGTACTGGGTGTCCCAGATTCTTTGAGCTCAGCCTTGCGAGACTGTAACTTTTTTGATATCCTTCGCTTTTGAAGCAAACTTTGCAAGCCAGTTTCTCGTAAAGATGACATTACTTCAGTATTTTATCGTTTACAAAATATCGGTTTCTCTTTACTGAAGAGTTGTAAATCAAAACATAAGTTCTTAGAATGGTATTTTGCCACTAAAAAATCAACTTTTCAAAAAACCCCAAAAAAGTTAAAACACAAATACAAGTCAGTCTGAGTGGAGAGTTTCGGCTACGATAGTAGCGATTCGTACCAAAATACCGTTGAATAATCATGCCGGTCACCATAGTCTCTGTTTTCATTTGATCAAGAGGTTTATAAAAGTTTGGTTTTCAAGTTCAAAAGACTCTTGTCGTATTTGGTTCCGCATTATCTATCCGTTACTTGGCCCTTTTCAAATCTGGTGCAAACATTGTTTAAAAAAAATTGGGAAGAAAACTTGACCATGCCAATAATCTTTGGTTTGCAGACCTCAATGTTTTTTCAAGAACTTGTGGTTGGTGCGTAGCGCGTTTGCGCGCTTTCAATGTTTCGACGCTTTTGGACGTTCTTTTCGGCAAAATTTAGCCCGTCATTTAAAAAGAGTTGATTGTAATCAATACATCTTCCAGTGCTTCCAACTACTTACAATGATGAGATTACAGTGAACTAAACCCTACTGCGATGCAATTTACCTGAAACTATACCTCATGGTACAATCTAACTCAAGTTGTAATCTCCATACTCATCATTTCCTCTTAAGTTAGACTTACCTGTGCTAGCATGATAAGGTCTCCGGTGTGTTGGAAGCGTGGGACATGACATACTTGCGGTGAATTGTCTTTTATGTATCGAATATTCACACAAGGAAATTCTTGCTTTTAAGACTTAAAGCTTTACATTTAGCGATTTAAAAACTGTTTTGTCTTTATAGCCAACCAAATTGTTCAGTCATCGAGCGATATCGTACAAATGGTTAATTTTCAACATAAGACTTTGATTTCCTAGACAAGGTTGAAAACTTTTACCTGATTTTTTTCTTGAATGGATCGATTACTCTGGGGATGCGCAAAGGTGCTGAATTATCTTTGCCCCTCTGGCATCTTTCCAGCTTATATAGAGTAGAATTTTTTCGTAAAGTCATGAAGTTAATGGAGCTTTTAATGTTACGTAAAAGCTTGTAAAGGCAGACTATGCCGAAAAAATCAGTCTGTTCTCGTGAACATTTCTCATAGTCAAGTGCTGCTCAAACTTATATGTACGTCATTACAAATGTGAAGAGTAAAGTTGTTAAATTTTTCTTAGTGAGCCAGCAACATTTCATCTAATTGTTTTTGCTTTCAGCGGCTAACTCTTTCCTCCCGCTAGAGAGCAAGCCCAATTCCACCTGAGACATAAAAACAATTTGATATTTACTGCAATTCGAGATAAGCTGTTGGGGAATATCAAAACCGAGGGTAATTGCCAAACAGTCACGACTTTATGATTTCAACAGTGCTACTGTGCTCAAGATGCTGCGGGAGGGTATGAATTATATGTAAGACTACCTCCAGCTCAACAGAATAAGAAATCCAGGTGTTTGTTAGCATGTATAAGATTGTAAGCGTATAGACCAGAAATTTTGTGGTGGGCCCGTTCAAACTCATAATTCTCGTCAATCTCACCTAAATTTACCATTAAGTACGTTACTGCATTTTTCATGCAGAAAATCAGCTTCTGAAAGTTTGTTATGCTTCCAGCAAGGGCTAGAAAAACTAGGTTTCTAGGTAGAATTTACCTCAAGGTATTTCCAGTTAATATTAAATACTTTGAGGTAACATCTCAAGGTAAAATTAACCTAGAGAGATACCGAGGTGCTCGACTCACTGCTGATAATGAATAATAAGCTACCTGGAGGTAGGATTTCCTCAAGGTATCAATGATGAGTACGGCCTCAAAAGTTAGCTTTGAGACAGCAAATGACTCTACCTGATTCAGAACAAATTTCATTTCAAACAGGTCATAATGACATTTTTTTAATACAATTCCGAATTAATGCACACCTCGCGCGCATGAGGTTTTAGCCAAGGAAGACCAGCGCGTGCAAGCAGGACTTTGGCACAATGTAATTGTTTTGACTGACTCAAGGCTTTCACTTACATCAGCATGAAAAGAAGTATTGATGTTGACATACAGAGATATAAGCATCTTCTTTGAAAATGCTGACATTCGAAGAGAAACTTAAATATTATAACCCCAATAACACAACCTCCTTTGATTTGCTGCTCCAATGTTTCTCACTAATCAGTTGAAAGAAAGCATTACGAAAATCATTGAACATGCTTTGTAGCAATTTCAGTGCTTCCTGAAATAAACTCATTGGGGCGATGCATATTCAATAATCTGTACTTGCATTTTTTGAGTTTTTGGCTTTGAAGGTCAAGTGTTGCAAATGTTCGAACAACACTTTTTGAACCTAATTTGAAAAATTTTGCTCCATTTATTAGTAACCCACAGCGAGAAGAAGTAGAAACCGCTCTCACCCAGTTTGGTGCAATTATGCATCAACCTATCATCTACATTTTTGGGTGTCCCAAAAAATGTGCCTACTGTTCTATTATTAATAACTCTCTCATAATGAAGTCCTTCAAAAAGTTTAGGTACCAATCTGTAGAACTGGCTTTAACTTAGATTTAGAGTATAGGTCGGTATAGGACTCTCACCCAGTTTGGTGCAATTATGCATCAACCTATCATCTACATTTTTGGGTGTCCCAAAAAAATGTGCCTACTGTTCGATTATTAATAACTCTCTCGTAATGAAATCCTTCGAAAAGTTTAGGTACCACTCTTTAGAGCTGGCTTTAACTTAGATTTAGAGTATAGGTCGATTCACCAATCGCTCTTCATTATTGCAGGATTAGTCTAGAATCTTCAAGCATATGGTGTCACTGCAAAAAAACCTGCCATTTCAAAAATTTTCAAAAAATGTGAAAACTTGTATAATCTCAGATAATCGCCGGGGGCAGGCGGTCCGCAAAATCGCGCTCTGCAGGCGGTCAGCAGAATTTTGGGGCGTGGCCAAACCTTCAGCGGGCGGTACATCCTTTACTGTTGAATGCCCTGCTAGCGGGGCAAAATACAGAGTTTTCTGCGGGCGTTCGGCAAACAGTTTCGTTCCGCGAGCGCTGGCCAAACTTTCAGCAGGCGCTCGGACTTTTTTTAAGCAGTTTCGGGCGTACGTCGAGCAAATATGAGACTCTATGCTGCAGACGTGTCATCGATGGTTTAATTACTTAAGTTTGAGGTACTTTCTCTTAGCGGAAAGTACCTACGGGCTGCGCGGTCCTTCGCAAAGGACCGTGCGGCCCTCAATATTTTTGCATATTTTCGCGGAAAGTCCGCGAGAATGCGGCCACTGCGCCGCAACTATTCTATAGAAAAATCACGGTACTTCTCCGAGTATTCCTCCAAAAATTGACCAACGTTCTTTCAAATTCCTGCAAGCGGATCGCATGAAATCAGCGAACTATTTTTCCGGTGCCGCTTGCTCAAAATTCGCATGGCCGCCTGCCCTCGGCGATTATCTGAGATAGGGTTCTCAAGACGCGAGAGTTCCACACTCAACTAGTGCAAGATTGCAAAGCTTTTCAAATGGTGTATAGTAAACGCACTTTCTAGGAACATCGAGAAAAGCAGTTACTGCTTGCCTTGCATAACTTTTTAATGGAGCTTATGATAAGTTGCAAACTTCACAATCAGAATCAGCGATTTTAATTAGCTTAGTGTTAAAGTTTTCATGTTGTTTTGTTTCCTTTTTGAAAGAAAATATGGCCTCCATGGCTCAAAACTCTTCTCAAAGTTCCTACCGTAATCCTATATTAATGGATAGCAGTCGGTAATCCTCTCCATACCATGAATATAAGTTGAAGGCAGCTTTACAAAATGGTACTTAAAGCTTCTTGAAAAAAATTTATTACAAGAGATAACAATCAAACAGTAGGCACATCTTTTTGGGACACCCTGTACATCAAAAAATTCAAAATCAACGTGCTCTTAATGACATTGATCAGAGAAATTTGAAGATGTACCTTGCACAAAAACACCGAAGATGATTCAGATGCTACTTTGGTCTAAATGTTCCGCTGTGTAGTTATTGCATGTTTATGCATATTACATTTTTGATCGTGTAACCGAAAACGCTATCTATCCATGACTCTGAAGTCTGTCACTCTTTTGTATTAAGTTGTCCGGAAAATAATGTCGCATGGCATCCTACCGCGACAGAATGACCAAAAAATAGCGAATGGGGTATCATTTGATAGAGCAAAGCAAGCTCTACAAGATAGTTCACAAAGCTACGCGGAAATCGTGCTCCACCTGAAGTTCGAATCCAAAATGTAAAAAATTTTAGATATCCGAAAAATCTTATCTCGGTTCATAGACGTCTTATGAATCTCCAATTTGCACAGGCATGTACTCTCTACGACATTCACCTGTATAGTTTGTGGTATTTTTCCTTGGCTACAGTACGAGAAATAAAAATAGGTCAAAAGTACGAATATGTCGCGTTTTTCGGGTTTTTTGCAAACAATTTGATTTTTCTCGAAAACTAGCGCTTGTCTAAAGCTGAAAATTCATGGTTATACTCCTGAAGGTTCATGCTACAGAATCACCCATGTAAGAGAAGCTTAAGTTTTGGCAGAAAATGTGCCGAAGTTCGTTTTCTCAATTTTCAGCCATGGAATTACCGCGAAAATGTGCATACGTGTGTCTCGTATAGTGTGTCCACGCGTGAGCAAGTTGGGGATTCCCAAGACTTTTCTGAACAGAGATACGATTTTTTTCGTTTTTTAGATCTTTAGTGTCTCATGAAATTTGGCTCCAAACTTCATGCAAATCAAACCTGGCGCAAAGGCTCGAGCTTCATTTTGTAGAGCTTGTTTTGATATATCGGTTGGTTCCCCATTTACTTACTCTCGTGCTCACCCTGCCACAATTTTGCATGTTAAAATAAAAAGCGACATTATTTTCCGGACAACCTAATATTACTCATTTTAGTGCAAAACACGTGCAAGCTTTTTTTTACAATGCTCCTTACAGAAGAACGATGTAATAGGTTGCAGCAGCGAACCAAAATGATATGTATATCAATAGATGCGTTATGACGAGCTAATTTCCAACTCTTCCTTTCTTATCTGCCAAGCTTTCTCTAATCTATTAGGTTGATGCATAATTCCTGCACCAAAATAGGTACAGACCGCAATAACTCGGAATAGTCCTATATCCCAAGTAGGATTCGATATATCATTTGATAGCGCAAACCTAGCTCTACAAGATAGTGCTCAAATATCTACACCAGCTTTGATCCATGCGAAGTTTTGAGCCAAAAACTGAAAAAAACCATGCGTCCGAAAACCTTAAGACAGATCTTAAAAAAATTGTAACTTCGTTCAAAAAGCTCATACAAATTTTCTTTCTTGCTCCCGCGTAGACGTTCCACGTAAGACATTTGTCTATACGGTTGCTGTATTTTTTTCTCAATTAGGCGATGAAAAAACGAAGTTTTTTGAAGTTTTTCATGTTTTTGCCAAACTAGTGCTGAGATGTTCTAGTATTAACAGTTGTATAGTACATGCCGTTAGCAGTGAAACTTTACATTTTCAGCCTTCTAGAACTGCTAGTTCGCGAGAAATAACGAATCTAGCTCTCCTCATCCACATTTTTCTTGCCTAGTTGCTAAAAATTCGATATTTCTCGTAAACCAGCTGCTCTAAAGAGCTGAAAATTCACATTCACGTTTCTAAGGTTTTATAGTATACAACTGTTAGTGCTAGAACATCTCAGCATTGTTTTGGAAAACACGAAAAACTTCGTTTTCTTATCGTCTAGTTGAGAAAAAAAACAGCAACCGCATAGATAAATGTCTTACGTGGAACGTCTACGCGTGAGCAAGAAAGAAAATTTGTATGAGTTTTTTGAAATTACAATTTTTTAAAGATCTGTCTTAAGGTTTTCGGACGCATGGTTTTTTCTTTTTCTGGCTCAAAACTTCGCGTGAATCAAAGCTGGTGTAGATAGTTGAGCATTATCTTGTAGAGCTAGGTTTGCGCTAACAAAGGATATATCGAATTCTACTTGGGATACAGGATTATTCGTTATTGCGGTCTGTACCTATTTTGGTGCAGGAATTATGCATCAACCTAATATATATTAGGTTGGTTCATAATTAATGCACGTCTTAAATTTCAACCGCAATAAGTCATACACTTTTCTTTCTTATATAGGCTTCAAAGTACCATTGGATAGAGCAAAGCAAGCAAAAGATTTCCAAATGCCCAAAAAATCGAAAAAAAATCAGATCTTCGTCCAGATAATTTCTACGGACCTCCCACTCGCTCATATCAATACTATCGATATCTGATATCCATATGTGCGATTGCCGTATTTTTCCCTTGACTAGAAATTGAGATAACGAAAATTTCCCTGATTTTCTTAAAGCAATGCTGAGCCGTTTTTGCATATGTAGTTCTATACTACAAGCCTAGGTAAGTATAACTGTAGGTTTTCAGCCCATTCCAAGAGGTAGTTTTCGAAAAATAACGAATTCGGATTTTTTTTGTTGCAGTTTCAGTGCTAAAATCGACATTTCTCGAAAAGTACCGTTCGAAATAGGCTGAAAATTTACAGTCATGCTTACCTAGGCTAGTAGTATAGAACTACATATGCAAAAACGGCTCAGCATTGCTTTGAGAAAATCAGGGAAATTTTCGTTTTCTCAATTTCTAGTCAATGAAAAAATACGGCAATCGCACATATGGATATCAGATATCGATAGTATTAACGTGAGCGAGTGGGAGGTCCGCAGAAATTATTTGGACGAAGATCTGATTTTTTTCGATTTTTGGGCATTTGGAAATCTTTAGATTTTGAGTTCGAACTCTCCGTGGATCGAGCATGGCGCAAAGGCATGAGCGCCATCTTGTAGAGCTTGCTTTGCTCTATCCAATGGTACTTTGAAGCCTATATAAGAATGAAAAGTGTATGACTTATTGCGGTTGAAATTTAAAACGTGCATTAATTATGAACCAACCTAATATTAGGTTGTCCCGAAAGTTTTGTCGGTTTTTTCAAACCACTATAGAACCACGCACAGTAAAGATATGAATGAGTTGTAAAGTGCATTCGATGCAACTTTACCTTCTCTTTCTTATGGTTACATTTTCGAATCGAAATCCTGTATGCTTTTTTTGATAATTGCCAAAATTCTTCACTCGCCATTTTTATCTGCTTAAAGTTAGGCTATTTTTCAAAAATTTCGTTCCAAAGTTTCGGAGAGGGTTGAGTACGGATCAAATAGAGCAATTCAAGGACTTTACGGAGATATTTTTTGATTCTCCTGATCTGCTGTGTTTAGCTCAAAAAATTATTTCTTCGGAGGCCTTGATTTTCAGCAAAGTCATGAAAAACGCAACTGCAGCAAAAGCAAGAAAACTTTTGAAGTTTCTGCGAATTCAATCTTGATTTTACTAAACATCATTTATGCAACATAACCAAGTTTGATTTGCTTCAAAAATCAGCTTTTTGGAATTTTTGGTACTTTTACGTGGTAAACTTATTCAAAAGGCCGCGGTTTTTACTGAATAAATAACCATAACGGACTTAATGAACGAGGCCCGCGTAATCTAAAAAAAATTACAATGTGGCCAAAGGTTTGCTCTACATAACAGTCACCAACGCTCCTTGAAAATATCAATTTAAAAATTTTGAAAATTCAGGGAAGATTTGGCGCTATTGCTGAGGTGCTTAAAAACCCATGGCGATAACCTCACAAAGACGGGGTAGATCAGAAAACAAATGTAGCTGTAAGAAAGAGGATAAAAATTTGAATAGAATGGTACCTAGGTCGTCCATGGAATGGCTTTCTGTGAGTTTGGGTGAGCGATGAAAAAAACCGACATAACTTTCGGGACAACCTAATATATTAGGTGGGTGCAAAAGTTCTGTCGTTTCATTTTCAAAAATTTGTAATTTCGCCAGATTTCAACGGATTTGACTGCCTGTAATTTTATTAGAAAGAATAGGTCTTCCGCTTTCAAGCGCTTTTTTGTGGAGCTTCTGTTTCACACTGAGTGCCGAGATAAAAATGGAAAACTAAGATTATGTAAACTTTGACCATTTTAAGTTAGGTCACCAAAAATCTGGAATGCTGCAGAAAAATCTAAAATCGTTAGTACATATGTTTTTTGACCTACACTTTGCATCTGTGAAAAAATTGTGCTGTTTGGACGTCTCTGTGAGAAGTTATGAATAACGAGTTTACCGTGGAAAACGCCAAAATCAATTAATTTGTCAATTTTCGCGCAAATCATAACTTCTCACAGAAACGTCCAAACAGCACAAACTCTTCACAGTTGCAAAGAGTAGGCCAAAAAACATATGTACTGACGATTTTAGATTTTTCTGCAGCATTCCAGATTTTTGGTGACCTAACTTAGAATGGTCAAAGTTTACATGGTCTTAGTTTTCCATTTTTATCTCGGCACTCAGTGTGAAACAGAAGCTCCACAAAAAAGCGCTTGAAAGCGGAAGACCTATTCTTTCTAATAAAATTACATGCAATCAAATCCGTTGAAATCTGGCGAAATTACAAATTTTTGAAAATGAAACGACAGAACTTTTGCACCCACCTAATATTAGGTTGGTCAGAAAGTTCGTTCGCACCATTTTCAAAAAATCGTAACTTCTTTCACAACAATTTTGCGCCTTTCAAATTTCATTAGAAAGCGCAAAGCATGTAGTTTCCAAGGTCCTCTGGCGACTTTGCAATATGTTCAGATTGCAGAGATAAAAATGAAAGAACGAGAATATCCGAAATTCGGAATTTTTGAGAAAAAATTCTAAAAATCTAGAAACTGCGCGATAAAACCCAGAAAAGCCATTATCCTAATTTCTCTTATATTTGATTACTAAATGAGTTAAGTTTGTGCTGATCGAGCCCTTCTTTTAAAAGTTATGAATTTTTGAAAAAAAAATGCCGAAAAATCATTTTCCTAAGGATTCCTAAAAAATCGATTTTTCGGCATTTTTTTTTCAAAAATTCATAACTTTTGAAAAAAGGGCTCGATCAGCACAAACTTAACTCAGTTAGTAATCAAATATAAGAAAAACTAGGATAATGGCTTTTCTGGATTTTATCGCGCAGTTTCTAAATTTTTGGGACTGTTTCTCAAAAATTCCGAATTTCGGATGTTTTCGTTCTTTCATTTTTATCTCTGCAATCTGTATATGCTGGAAAGTCAGGGGACTATTGGAAACTACATGCTTTACGCTTTCTAATAACATTCAAATTGCGCAAAATTATTGTGACGTAAAGAAGTTATGATCTTTTAAAAATGGTGCGAACGAACTTTCGGACCAACCTAATATATAAAACTCAATGTCTGTGAGGATGTTCGTTAGGTTGTTAGTGCCTTATAGAAAGGCCAGCCATTGAACCAATTGAGCTGGAAATTTGCACACATATGTATTTTTTGCGGCAATTCGCTGGACCATTCTATTGATTTATTGATTTTTGGCATAAGAATGAGTTTTTGACATCAGCTAACAAGTCAATTCCATGATTTGGTGTAAACAATAGCAGTAGAGTTCATTCGGTTTTCGCGGTAGGAAGTTGCAGTGATTCAAGAGGAACCTATGGTGAGTTACTTTTTTACAGGAACCCCTTGCAGCGCAGCATAACGGCTAGGCGGGAAGGGGAGGCGCGGAGTGGGGGGGGGGGGGGGCTGGAGCAGTTTACAAGGGACCGCTGACATGATCCGGGCTGAACCGGGAAAATCAGCTAGTAAAAGCTATGGGTGGTTAAAGATACGAAGCTAGCAGGTTCTGATGGGTGATGTGCTATGGAAACCTGCTTGGAATTGAGTCATTGGTACTCTTCTGAGTGCACTGTATACTTGGGTAATTCGAGAATTTTTCATCGAATGAATGAATATCGAATAAATTCGAAAAGGAAAAATTTCGAATAAACGAATATCGAATAAATTTGGAATATCAAAAATATCGAATGAATGAATTTCGAATGAATTCGGAAAATCAAAAATATCGAATGAATGAATTTCGAATAAATTCGGCAAATCAAAAATATCGAATGAATGAATATCGAATATATTCGAACATTGGAAGTCGAATTTCGAATAAATATTCGAATGATTTATCGAATAACTAAAGCAATCACATCTCAAACTTGCCGACATATCTGGCTAGAGCCGATCCAATCATAATCAGCCCCCTAGTATCCTCTATACCAACTCCTAACTCAAAATTTTCCAAATGAAATCGATAAAATATATTTCGGTTTTAATCAGCATCCTCATTTACCCCCTGTACCAACTCCCAAGCTCGTAGCTCGAGATTTTCCAAAAATCGATAAAATTCATAAAGTACAGGGCTCCTAAATTGCAGAGTCGTTTGCACCAGCGGTCGCGCGACCGCGTCGCGCCCGGGCATCAATAGCGCCGCCTCGATCGATGGCGCCGGAGCCGGCAAAATGCCCGGGTGCGACGCGGTCGCGCGACCGCTGGTGCAAACGACTCTGCAATTTAGGAGCCCCGTAAATTTTTATCCGTAATCAGCACCCTCACTTAACCCCTTGTACCAACTCTCAGCCCCGTAGCTCAAACTTCCCCAAAAATCGATAAAGTCGATCGGTCGGCATCTAGTCTATACATCAGCAAAAAGTCATATTTTACCCAATATGGACGATCTAAAAAGCAGTCGATATAAATTTTTATGCTGCGCCCAAAAGATTCTTCTTCAGATGGTCTAAAAGAGACTGATGTACACCAGAATTAACTTTATTTCTTATCTCTACTTTCTACATCAATTAAAATCCACATATGATTTTTTTAGTGTCGCAAGCAGTCGGAAGAATGCGACTCTCCATACAGTTCGAAGGTATAACGGTTGCAAAAGATGCATTACCGAGTTTTGCGAAAAAAACGTGGACGAAGTGAGCTTGATACTCAGCAGTTGGCTTTGCAACAAAGTCGAATAATCTGAATACGGAGTCATTCGAATACGAATTCGAATAAACATTCGAATAAAACATTCGAATAAAATCTATTCGAAACCCCATTTATTGATTATTCGAGTTTTCGAATAATATTCGAAACCTCGTTTTATTATTATTCGAGTTTTCGAATTTTATTCGAAACCTCGTTTTTTGATTATTCGAGTTTTCGAATTTTATTCGAAACCCTGTTTTTTGATTATTCGAGTTTCGAATATTATTCGAAAATGGAAGAACTCCGAATATCGAATTTCGAACACGAATATATTCGAATGTTTTATTCGAATGATCGAATTTCTATTCGATTCGGACCCAAGTATAGTGCACTGGTTACAAGGATACATACATCGAACACACAAATAAGTGTTTTTGAACAAACAGTTCTTGAAGATATGACACTGGATGTTTGGCAAATTTGAACACCCAAACGCTCATAGTGTGGCTAGAGGCTCCTTAAAATTGAAGTAGACTGTGATCAGATTTACGTGTCATTGTTTTGGATTGTTTTGTTGAAATTTATTCCATTACTTGTGTTGTAGTTGCTGATAAGCATCTTGTAGGATTATTACTTCGCAATGGAGGAAGTCGGCCAGACAAATGATTACAAGTTATTGCGAACGCCCTATTAGTCTATTATAGCCTTGACTACATAACCTAACTGAGCTTATCAATACATCAGTTAATAATGATGGTCTACACAGTCAACAGTGATCTAAAGAGTATAAGTACTGATGAACGAGTAAGGTCATGCTGTCTTCCACAAGTTTCTGCACAAGTTGGAGTTAAGGTTTGGTCCATAAGTTTCTCCGAGAAGCACTCATCAAGCCTTGGGAGGACCACTCTCATTTCTGTGTCAAATCAACTCCTGTATTTTGTTCATAAGTAAACTTTGGTTACTTTGAGGAATACCCGCACATTCCAATTGCAGCGCGCATGGCACAAATTCCCGTAGAAAATTTTCTAAACATAGCTTCTTCTAAAAAGAGCTTAGCAGACATGGAAGTTAGATTTGGAATCAGCTCATCAAGGCGCATCTGATGGTATCATATATTTCGGTTCGCCACTGCGGTCTAGCATCTTTCCCTTATTAGATGATTACTCCATTGCTGGATATCGTAAAATCATTGTTCAAAGACACAAGGGAAGAATTCGAGGCAAGAAGTATTTATTTTCCGTGCTGTTTGTGACCACAACAATTTTGAGACAAAAAGATGATTATTCTGAAACTGACTTGCTCAAAACATATGCACTTACAGTAGTATAGTTGATAGATCGAGCGTAGCTAGCAAGCAAAGCTTGCCCAAACTTTTCTTGTGTTTTTATAAAGCACCATGCCTCCTCCAATGCCTTCTTATCCTATAATGGCGTAAAGAAAAGGTAGTTACAGACATGCATGCGATGCTCATGTGGGGGTGGTCTTGCAAAAAAGGCAAAGGCTCAAAATCAGTTGCATGTTTTGAGCCAAAATGAAGAATGATAAGACACGATGTTAGCTAGCAAATCACCCGATACTTCTTAATGGGTGTACAAGTTTTCAAGAATGCAGGGTTGGACGCACTAACCTACAATAAAATTATATTGTCAACAAGCTGGCATCCCGTTTCCACCCCGGCATAACAACCAACCAAACAAACAAAATTTTGCAATTGCGAAATGTTAAGACTATTCTTTTCGCCGGATTCAGCTTCACTTTCTTTCTAGGTGCTTTTTTCCTTCTGTTGCAGACGCGGGCTTCGTGCTCACCTGCTCGACTCTACCTTCTCCCGGCGCTCTATTACACAGCTGAAACATGGGCCGACACCGTAGCCACGTCGAAAGCTGCCTATAGAGAGCTTGAGTGCAGTCTTCAGAAGACGAATCGAACAAGCAACATCTTGTCGGACTTCACAGTGCGGATATGAGAAGAATGTCCAGTCTACTTAATGGGATACGTTGCAAAAGCGAAGCATCGATGGGGCGGTCACATTATGAGAAGAACAGACAACTGGTCACTGAAAACGTGAGAGCGGATTTCTCGCAAAGCAAAACGTCCCCAAGGAAGACCTCTAAAGAGATGGGCAGATATGTTTGTGACGCAGATGAATCGGCTGAGAAAACAGCTGGGTAGTGGACGGAGCCACCACGACTACCAAGAAGATCGGGAATGTCTGGGGCGAGGAACAGGGCACATGGGAGAATTTTGGCTGGGACTCGCAAGTCATCTGAAGGAGGGCCATCTCTGCATCTAAGTAAGTAAGTAAGCAGTTTCGCGCAATATCAAGCTTGTTGAAAAAAGCGAAATAACTTTTGGAACTCCTGCGTGAGTCATCCGTAGAGTGACTGAGTGGTCGCAACGCGAACAGTGGAATTGTTTACGCCAAGACTATTCAAAAGTTGGCCTTAACTGCGGCGGGCGGCATGTGCACTGCGCTAAAAAGCTGGCCGTATTCATTGGTCTCTTCATTAGTGCGTATGCTTGCAGTTCTCTGTTCATCTTCTTCGTTTCTATCCCAAAGTCAGCTTTGTACTTGCGCAACGGCGTGGTCGAGGAAGTCCGTAGTCATGATACTATTACCCAAGAACCCATGATGCTCGCACTGCGATTTTGACAGATCGCAGTTTGCCCTAATCGACGGTCTGTGACCTACTCAAGGTAGTGGCTGTGCATGCGCGCAAAGCATCTCTTGAGAGACGAAAGAAAAAGACCTTCTTCGACAGAACTTTTCATAGTCCGCAGACCTTGTATGTTGCAACGATCGTTACTTATACGCATTGATGGACATGATAACCATGGCTTCAATTGCAGTTTTTCCCAGTTTTCTTTGGAGGCTTCGTTTTGTTATAAATCTACTTTGATTTACGTTAATGTGATGCAGGTATGAGAAACTCCTTTCTAACAATACCCTTACCCCATACTTAGTGATTATCTTCGTACTTACACTAACAGAAACTCCAGCAGATCTCAAGCTGTGCTTCTTTACAGGCTTCCTACTTGACAATACTCGGAAACGCGCATCCAGTTCTCCAAGAGACTTGCAAACAAACTGGATTATAATGATGTTTGCCCCAGCTTTAGGGTCCCTTTGTAATGAAGCGTCGAGTCTGCAGTGAACTCAGCTTTACAGTTGTATCTTGTATTTGATTTGTCCAACTTACCGTGCTATTCTTTGAAGAGAAGGGGCGTTGATCCTGAGACCGTCTTGAAAAATATGACGAACTTCTGAGGAGCTTATTTCTGACAAAAGTTTGAACATGTCAATCTGAATAACTTCATTGTAGATAGGTATGTGTATGATTTTGTAAGTGCGCGTAGTGTATGTATGAGCGTAAGGATATGTGTATGCGTATATGAGTGTACAGTGCCTTTCATAACTATACGAACCCCCCCCCCCTCCCGAAATTTCCAATCAGTGCCCGTGTGAGCTAAACATAATATTGAATAAAATGACATTGCAACTAACATGTCTACCCATTTGCTTTTCTACATGTATAGACATGTCTAATTTCCACTGTTTCATAACTATACGACACCTTTAATGAAGGGATTACGAAACCTTTGATGAACGGATTTTGTGTGTGTGTGTGTGTGTGTGTGTGTGTGTGTGGTGTGTGTGTGTGTGTGTGTGTGTGTGTGTGTGTGTGTGTGTGTGTGTGTGTAGATGCAGTAGCAACAGCAGCAAGATATGGTTATTTTAATGACTTTGTGTAACATTTTTCTTGCTTTCTTGGCATTGAAAAACTTGTGCGATAATTTTGAACATCACCAAGAACAACTTTCAAAAAAAATATACTCACAGACGAGTAGCTCCTGTTTAAGTTGCCAAGCGTTGTTGGTTCCGTTGTTTTGAAGTAGAAGGCTGCGACGATATTTTTGAGCAAGATATTCATGCTTGCTAAATCCTTCAAAATCTTCTGCATATAGCATTTCGAATATGTCTCTATGCACAAGGCGATCGCCTAAACATGGATAATTTTCCACAACAGACAATTTTTTCTATGTTTCTAGCTTATCTGCGCTTACGCTCTCTACCACTGGAAGTGGCAGGTGGCTGTAGGGCTCTGCTCTGCACAATATTACTTCTACAGTAAATTCTAATTAATTCAGTAATTCGCGTCTTACAGTAAATTAGGCGTAAAATCAATTGCGTTGCGTACTTTGCACAACACAATTGATTTTACGCCTAAATCGCCCAAAGTTGGCGTCTTCGAAAAACTTGTTTCTTTTTGTTTTCTGATGTTTCTGTGCGGGGGGAGGGGGGGGAGGAGACGTTTTTGTTGTTTTGGTGATAATGCAGCCGTTTTTTTATCGCTGTGCATCTCTTCACTAACTTGCTTTCACAGGCGTCTCGTCCCTCTCTATCGTAGCAATTTCTCATGTTTCTCGATTTGTTTGGTTCTTAGTCCTCAAGATCCATCCATCCTTTTCGCCTGCGATGGCAGTATACTCAATAAAGTGCCTTCAGTATGGGTTGCGTGGAAATTTGCGATTTCTGGAAAAAATTTCTGGAAATTTGCGTCGACTCATTCGAATCTGTTGAGAATGCAATCCGCAGAGGTAAGCACACTCATTACTCACACTCGTTTTTCTGAATGCTTTCATTCACAATCTTTTGTCGTTGTTTCGGTTCCTCCTCCCTTTTATCCTTTCCGCTATGTGAGTGAATGAAAGCATTCAGAGAAACGCTTTCAGTTGGATCCTTGAACTAAGTACATTGTTTCAGTAGGTGTTTTGATGGCTTTCCTTACTCTGTCTAGTATCGTTTGATTTACAGGCGCAGATCACTCAGACGAGGTGAGATAGCGCGAATACCATTTATTTTCTAGCTTTCTAATGTCAGTGCCTCGTCTTCTCAGAATTTCGAGTTCGATCTCGACCAGCTCGTCAATCAACTACCAGAAGAAGAGCGTACGACAGCGTAACTGCAGCCAAGCTCAAGCATCGAGCAATTGGGCACCCAACCACCTCGCCCTTCTTCAGGAAGCACATCGCCAGTGAATGCGACTATCATGAGCTCTTCCTAATTAAATCTCTTTGTTAACCAAACATCTAGTTTCCTTACTTCACGGTCTAATTTTGCGTATGTTGTTTTGTTAGTTTGTTTTGTTTCACATGTTTTTGCGATAAAACGTAAGGGGTGATGTACTGTAGCGGAACATTCTGTAGGCTGTGTCAATGAGAGTTTCACAGCCAACGTTGGGGCAGTCGTGGCCGTCTCGCCGGGCATTACGCTGTCGCTACGAGTATATCCTCTGAGGTTTTCCTAGTCTCAAATCGCTTTCAGAGAGGGAAAATGCTCAAAGATATGTCTGCGAACGCGGCGCAAGGCCAGAGCGGGGGGGAGGGGGACGCGGAGTCGAGGCGCTGGAGTTAGGACTCTCTCAATTGAATAGCCTATACTATCTCGCGCGTCTCTGTAGTACATTGAAAGATGAACATCAAGCGTAAAGTAGTACACGCATTGTCGCGTAGTGCGTGGTTTTTTTAAATTATTTTTCGATCACCTCTCCCTCAAATATTCAATATTCCAGCCGTTCGATCTACATCTCCTTAAGATAAGGTGTGACCAAAGTATACCTCCCTGATAACGCATGTGTGTTTCATCATAGGTCAATCCCATAAAAGTTCGTTTGCATGGAAGTCAAAAAGGCAAGCTTGTTGCACAAAAGCCAACTGATGATGCCCCTAAGGTCGATTTGCACGTTGGATCCATCAAAATGGCTCCTCCTCACTACAAAAAGGGCGACAAAGTATGTCAAGATTACCTATTCACTTTTCAAAATATCGCTTCTTCCTATTAGGTAGCCGCAAGAGCCGCCTATGGTACTGCTTTGGCTAAACTTGAGATGCTAGTCCGCGTATTATCGGCTTAGATGGTGATACTAAGAATTCTACGTATTCTGAGAAACTGATGAAGGTTGCTTTTACATCTTCAAAACTTTCATATTAGCTCAAAAAGTGTCATTTTCAGAAACATCCTGACCAATTCATTGAAAGTTTCATTGCTGAACAGAATCTTGTCGGTGTAGCAGTTGGTGCTCAGTGTAGAGACAGAAAGATCCCTTTTACTAGATAGGGGGTGATATTTTACTTTTCAAATATATTGCGGACTTCTTGTGCGAGTCACTGCTAGTTCCAAGTTACTAGAAATGTGTATAACCGGAAGCCTTAGCTTGATTTGCTTCCAGCACATTTGCTGCTTTCTTCACTCGAGTTTGCGATCGGATTCGTATGGCTGCTGTATCATTCGCAGCACATTCGAAGCTTAGTCGTCATTCTTTGATTATCTGAGGATTTGTGTAGGCCAGATTGTTGCTGTAGTCACTGTTCAGCAGGAGATGTGTCTCTTCAATCAATTGTTAGTGGGGATGCTGCTTTGAGAGAAATTTGTAGAATCACGATCATTTTAGACATGGTTCAGTTTGTCTACAGCATCCTTTTACTTTGAATTTGCTTTTGAGGATCTTGCTCTGTTCCGAACTTTGCACGGGTCTCCAGTGTTGTTTTAGACTGCGTTCATACTGATCCCGAAGTTCGGGAACAGCTCCAGCACAGCGCCCAATCCGAGCGCTGTGCTGGAACTGTTCCCCAACTTTCAGCTCAGTATGAACGCAGCCTTATCCGACGGACGCAGTAGCGGTTGAGAGAGCTACTGAACTAGCAGCCAATATAAAGGGCATCGCTTTCATTCGTACTAATCGCCCTGCTCTTCCTGTGCTCTACTATAACAATGAACCGTTCGCTGTTGGACAGGCTAAGGTGCAGCTTGAGACAGTGGTAGCTTGAGACAGTTCTCCTTATAATAACTTAATTTACGACTTATCAAATGAACTTCATTCTAAGTGCTAAAAGAGTCACCGAACGATAAAATACTTTTGATCGGAGCCGCTGTGACCATTTACGAAATGATGAAAGCCGCTGATCAGCTTGAGAAAGAGGGTGGGTTGACTGTCTTGTTCGCTCGAACTTCCACAGAATTAAGTTTTCTAATTATATCAGGCATGCAGTGTTGTGTTATCGATCCGTTCACTATCAAACCTTTGGATGAAGCTACTATTGTCAAAAACACATAACGGACGGGAGGCACGGTCCTTACTGTTGAGGATCATTATCCAGCTGGAGGAATTGGAGAAGCTGTAAGTGCAAATCTTCTCTTTTAATCATCTTTTTGATCAAAATGTTCTAGGTGGCCGCTTTCGCTAAGCATGGCATTCGCGTCCAATCTCTATGCGTTAATGACGTTCCTCGTTCTGGTAAACCCGATGAATTGCTCGATATGTTTGGCAATTCTGCTCGCCATATTGTTGAAGCTGTCAAAAAATACTGAACACTTCTTTAGACCGGCTGATTTTGAGATTAAAAGAATTCTATGCAGAATCTTAACACTACATACCGCAGAGTTGTGTAGAGGTTTTATTCTCGCTGTCACCTAAGGAAGACTGATTTTTGTTGTTAATGACTGGAGTTTATACGAATACAGTTGAGTTTTGTTTTTGCTTGGAAAATCTAATAGATAAGCTAAAATATGGTGTCTTCTGTCTTGACCCTCTCTGTTGGCACTAGGATGGAGAATGCATTCAGCATCATGTGTCAAGGTATGATCTATTCTACGACTAGGAGACGCGAGACTGATTGCGGACACCGTCTTAGCAAGTCTGAGTTTGTTCTTCCCTGTTTTCAAAGAGTGAATAAACGGGAGAACCTGCTAAGTACACGATTGTGTTTGTTTTGACAATGCGTGCAATGCGATCTCGCGTCTCCTGGTTATAGAATGATAAGTGAAATTATAGCATAATGATAAGAACTGCAAAAATAACGAAAAACAACATCCCCCGCCCCCGCACAGAAACATCAGAAAACAAAAAGGAACAAGTTTTTTCACCGCGACGCCAACTTTGGGCGGTTTAGGCGTAAAATCAGTTGTGTTGTGCAAAGTACGCAACACTATTGATTTTACGCCTAATTTACTGTAAGACGCGGTGGCTGTAGGAGTAATATTGTGCTCACGTGACGACTTCTAACATTAATGTTTTACTCGGCTCATATTGAGTGGAGAAGTGCTTGTCGCGTGAATACACGTTCAACGCGGATATTTGCAACTGATGCGACATGTCCCCTACCCGCTTAGAATTCCAAACCACCAAAACCTAAAAGACGACTTTATGTCTACTTCAAAAAGGTAGCTTGTTATTTGTAAAACCACGAGATATGTTGGCAGTAAGCCTTTAGATTTGTTAGGCACTCTAAATGCTTAGCTCTCATCCTAATGTTTGATTGTCTCTGAGTTTGTAAAGGTTTCCTACAAATTTGTAATAAACGTTAATGTTCTGTGCAAAAAAAAAGAAAAACCCAAGCTAAAAAGCTTGTCAGTGCCACCTGAGTATTGTAATAATAGTCTCTCGTTGGCTAATACTGTTATATGAGCGACTTTTACATCATTCAGCCAAAAATAGTGCTTCGCACGGAGTTTAGATTTGTCTTTAGGTCGAAACTCCTCAGCATGATTTTGAACCATTTTCCTCCTCAAACGTTCGTAAGGACGAAGACATGCCTGCTTTTCTGTATTATATGCTAAGTGCTGATCTTTCATTTTTTTCGATAACCTCAAGATATTTTAATAGATCCTCACTATGCATCTTTCTCGTCGAGGTCACATCCTACTTTTTTATCTTAAATGAAAGCAGGCAGGATGTTGGCCCCTTGCAACATTATAGGACCAATGAGAAGGGCAAAAGACAATTTTTCTGACAAGAGGGTAATGTTTCACGTTCTTGGTGGATATTTGGAGGTAAGTTTAACATAAACTAAGCACAACTTTCCATGGACTCGGGCATCGGTAGGATTCTTTGAATGTATTTAAGTCATGCAAGTCTGATAAATGGTCTTTGACAGTCAGGACTCAACGTTTCAACGCATTCGTTTTCTTCAAAAGCTGGAAAGTGGCTCATAACACGGCTAGAGGCATCAAATGACTGAATCAATAAACTTAATGAAAGTTAAAGAGGCTTGTTGTTCAAACCTCATAATAAACAAAAATGCTAAGGTCTGAGAAAAGTGACTTAAAATTTATCAAAGGACAAACATCGTTCTTCACTACTCATGATACCATACGATAATGATACTGGACTGCGTATTTGGCAGAACCATACCGAGTACAGAATGTTTTGACCTAGAAGACAGTTGCAGAAGAACCAAGAAGAAAAAGAAAGGCTGAAAAGCGCACAAAGCGTAAACAGAAAACTGCAATTTAAAGTTTAAAAAGATTTGGATGATCCTTCGACCAGATGTAGTCGATCGATGGAAGTGCGAAGCACAACTCCGAAACAAAACACGAAGATCGTGTTATGTGTTGCAGAAAGAGACCAAGAAGATGAAGCCGATTTTTTACAACAAGCAGCATTGATGTGAAGGAAGTTTTTTTTCCTTCAAAAGGAACACATGTGTATTTCTCGAGATTGAAGCTGCAGCCATGCCTCTCTCTTCTCCTCATTTCTCAAAATTTAGAAGTTTGAGGCCACAGAAACTTTAGGAAGCGTCTTGAAAAATACTTTTAAGTGTGTGGTTATGCCTTCACCTTCAGTTCAAATTTATCGCCTCCTTCTCAGCCGAAAAAATTTTTTTGAACGGCACCGATAGCCACCGACAGGATTTTGCATTTGGTCTGGACTTAGGAAGGCAGCAATGCTGTGGGAAGTAAAGTGTAAATTATGCAAATGTTAATCGGTACTCATGTGATGATCATTATTTTTATATTTTGTTGAGTCCTTTGCCGCACCATTTATGGACAGTCATTGTTCGTCCACACATAAGCCAAAAAATGACGAAGACGAGCCGCGTGGAAAAAAATGTTCGAAAAGGATCTTACCGTTTGTAAAGGATAAGCAGTGTCTGGAACGGTGCCTTCGGACAATTGGAAGATGCTATACTGATCCACAAAAAACTGTAATGATTATTATAAGGTAGGTTTTCAGAAATATTGCCTTATGTCGCATCAATTACTGCTCCCCTTCGTCTATGACAACAAATTAAACTGCGTTATGGAAGGCTTTCTTGCCAAAGCCAGCGCTGGCGCTGTTGTGAAAAACGCTGAGCTAAAAGGAAAACTGAAAACTGCAAAGAATTACAAGTTGAAAATTGACGTATGTCCAAAATCTCGATTTTTGAGAAATATAGGATAGGGATATTCTTCTCAGCAACATGTTTGGTACTGTTGGGTTAGATGATTATTAGGTCGTTTTATAAGTCCGTAGAGTTTTCATTTCCAATTTCATTTCTTCAGAGCGGTTGTTTTGGGGCAAGAGGAGTACTCACCAAAAAGAGCTGATGTGCTCTTAAAAACTATCGATGAAAAGCTGATTTGCTTTCATTCTTCTGCTTTTAGAGAAGGAGTCCCCAAGAAGCAAAAAGAAGCATTCCAGCATTTGCTTAATTTTTTTATGAAAAAAGCGTTTTGCGCAGATTTTTTGTCCATTATGATGTTTTCTCGTCAGTATAAGACAAAAAGAATGGATTGCTTCAAAGAAAAAGTTGCAGGAAGCCTTCTAAATTCTGCCACTTGCAGGATGGGCAGGAGGTTTTGCACTAAGAATTGTTAGACAAGAATAACAGTCTCGCACAGCGTAAGCAATTTGAGTGTGCCTCGCAGATGAGTCCCTACTGCGGGAAAACCCCAATTAAGTGTTCAGTAAGTGTTCGCGTATTTTCTGAGCGAAAAACTTGGCCACATACGGCAAACTTCGCCACAGCTGTCCTGCAAGACTTGACTGGAGGTAGATTGGTATCCAAGTACTCCTAAACTCTCGTCTCAACATATTATTAGGTTGGTGCAAAAGTAATGCGCGTTTTGCGAGTTTTCAATTTGATGTGCCATAACTTTTAAAAAATTCCACGTTTTTCAGTGTGACAAAGTTCATCAAAGGCATCAAACCTTTCTCTATAAAGCGCACATTAATTTATGTTATTATCGCAAATCGGTGGAAAAATATGGATTGGTAAGCAAAAAAATTTTTTTTTCAGAAACCTCGTATAGTCCTCCTCACCCCACTAGTCGGTCGGTGGTCAAATTTAAATTCGAACTGGAGCAGGCAGACGGCAGAGCGCGGCAGACGCTGCCCCTCAGCCAACCGCTTGCACGAGCTTTTTCCTTATTTTCTTAGTGTTTCTTTGCTATCTCTTGTATTGCGGCAATGTTCTCAACAGCTTTTCAGAATTCGTACCGTTAACTCTTTGAAACAAACATTTTTTTAGAGGATTTCAGCTCTATCGCAAAAAGAAATTTAGAGTACGCATTTTAGAAAAACTTGACAAAGTTCATCAAATCATTTATGTATATGTCAGTTACCGGAAAAGAGATTTTTCATTCAAAAACTGCAATCGCATCCTTCTTCCCGATTTACCTGAAAAAATGTAAAACAAACGAGCATAACTGCACAAAACAATAGTTAGCGGCACAAAATCCAAAAATCTGATCAAGAACATTGCCGCGATACGAGAGATAGCAAAGAAACACGAAGAAAATAAGGCGGCGTCTGCCGCGCTTTGCCGCGGCCGGCCTGCTCCATTTGGAATTTAAATTCGACCACCGACCGACTAGTGGGGTGAGGACGACTATATTTAACTAATCATAACTTCCTTCAAATTTGTCGGTATGAATGAAAAGTTCACTGTCTTTCAGTCGCAAGCCAGTTGTACAAAAAAAGTACGGAAGTGCTCAAATAAAGAATATTTGCGAAAAAAGAAAAAATGATATTTAAAATAGACCGCTTTTTTTCGACATTTTTTCGTAGCCCTCAAAATCCCAAAATATGGAGATTTTTGATTTTCTCTACTGTACTGAACAGCTTCCACATTTCTGCAAAATCTGTCAACAGGAGGCCCACCCTCACGCTTACAGAAATGAGCAGAACTCTGGCGATTGCCCTCTTCAAAGGAAATCTATGGCCCACCGAATGGTCAAAACCATTACTCACGTTGAGGGGCCGAGATCTTAGTCCAAGTAATTTCTAGGAAAACAGTAAAGCGTGCATAACGTAGAAAATTTCCATGTCATACAGTAGTTAAATTTTCAAAAGAATGCCTTCACTCGCGCTTGAATTCTGGCCCAAAAAGTGAGTGCAATGAAATTCAGGTTTTGAGTGTATGAAGCATGTATGAAGCTCTATAAATTTTTAGCGAATGAGGCTAGAAGCTTCTTTCAACCACAGTTGAATAGAGCACGAAAAAAGATTCTTGAAATATTTGGGTAAGTTTCATAGGAGAAACTTCGATGGAGATAAGGTATCTTGAAACAAAGGCTAGAAAACCGCGCATTACTTTTGCACCAGCCTAATACCATATGTTCCAGTCTAAACAAATTACACACGGTGTGTGTTTCAGTTTTGAAGATGAATTCAAGTTCCGGTCAAACGACTTTTTTAGGACCAAACCTGCTGGTTTTGAAAAAAAAACGAAACTGATAATTTGACTGCACGGGCAAGGTTGTGCGAAGCAACAGAACATACATTATTGACTAAAATTTGTTGAAAATTCATCTCAGATTTTTTTGGAACTCTACGATTATGAAACGACCTTATAGAAAACTTTGGACTGTTCACTGACTACGAAAAAAATGGCTTTAGAAAAACGGCTGGTCACCATGGATCATTAGGGGATCGTACAAAAAGCTGAAAGTGCGGTTTGCACAATTTCTCGCTTCTGTTCAATAGATTTATTGTATATTTTAGTAGAAACCTCGCTGATGGAAAGAAGAGAAATCCTGATGCACGGAGCTTCAAATATAAACTTTTTGAGTTGCGCTACCAACTCCAGCAAAGATGTTAACGCATGCGCCCTTGAATCATGCTATGCCTGCAATAGGTAAAAAAAATAATGGGAGGAGCAGTCTGTGGTTTGCTGAAATAGTTATTATGGGTAGGAAGGGTCGTATCCAGTGGTCGTGTGCCACCCCTCTCACTCTACCTGCTTGAATTTCGAAACTTTTGGATTTTTCGGAGATAGCAGTTGACGAGATTGTGCTAGAAGTTCCTATTACAATCTTACAACAAGCAGGAGCGACTGCTTTATTTTGTTGAGTGTTTGCCTCTATAAGTAGTAAAGTATACTGCTTCACCAAGCCACTAACGAGACGCAGTACTGGAAGGTAGAGCCTCAAGAGCTGCCATAGCGGAGCGTCAGTGTTAGGCGGCACTGAGCTAATGGCGGCGGGTACGACTGCCATGTAGACCAGTGTTCTGCAACCTGCTAGTTAGTTAGTTTTCATGTAAATGAACATTAGTTACTTTTTATGTAAATGAACAGAGTCTTTGAACGTTTTGAAGTGGAGAAAGGAAGTGCAGAACACAAATTATTATCAATGATACACGAGAAATTTGGAATATTGTGGAATACTACTTTGGTAGGCGTAAACATGAGCTAATTCACTAGCCATAACGCCAAAAGGTTTCACCCTAAAATCAGAAAATAAGTTGGACGCGCAGGGTTAATGAACAGCGATTTAGCAATATAAGCATCATGAAAGGTGCTGAGAAGGAAGAAGTAAGAAATAAAGGCATGCAGGAGGAAAATTGTGCACAAGCGAGTTGCGATGTGGGAATTAAAAGAAAAATAGTCGAACGATAAGAAACGAGAAAGTAGAATTCTGAAGTAAATCTTAATTAAAATGAACTCAGATTTTTCCAACTGCAAGAAATATAGCAGCAGAAATGCCTAGAAAACAGAATAAGTCGCTTAAGTCGTATTGACTTTTAGGGGCTTATCAGCTGTTGATATCGATTACATTTGGCGTGCGTTCAAACTAGCGCTGTGTGCCTACGCCTCCTTGCGCACAAGACGATCACAGCGCACGCGACTCCCAGTCGGTTGCGTCTTCCTGCGTCTCTACGCTAGACCCACTATTTTTATTTCTCTGCTTCTTAAAGGCAGTGTCCGGGCAAAAAGTCGATTTTGAGATTTTCTGCTTGCCCGGGCCTATTCCCTATGCTGAATCCGAATATCCACATTGGAAAGCGCGAAAATGGCGAAAAAGGGCTCTAACGCAGGAGTGAAATCAAAAGTGGGCGGGGTTTTCCCCAAGGTGAATTCACGGTTCCAACGTCCGGAGCGATCTTTTCAATCCCACTAACCGCCCTGACATCTCAACGGACCAAGTACGAATGCATGATCTGAAGTCGGAAGCGAAAAGATCGCTCCGGGAGCTGGGACCGTGGATGCATCCTGGGGAAGACCCCGCCCACTTTTGATTTCCCTCCTGCGGTTAGAGCCCTTTTTCGCCCTTTTCGCGCTTTCCAGTGTGGATTTTCGGATTCAGCGTAGCGAATAGGCCCGGGTAAGCACAAAATCTCAAAATCGAGTTTTTGCCCGGACACTGCCTTTAAGTGACGACGTTCATGAAGTGCTCATCCTCTGTGAACGAGGACGAGCACGTTCTGCAGTCATGACGTCTAACAATTTTGCCGCGAGGCCATGATAGGAAAGAGGCGTAACTTTTGAGCTGAAAAGTGCTCCGTATCCGCGTTGAGATGATGGCAGATTTGAAGCATGTCAAGTAATGTTTTTTTCTGCTGCTTCGCAAGCCGCCACTGAAAGTCCAGATACAACCTTTCCATAAATGTACAGTAAAGCCGATTACTTTTCGGCAACCTAACGATTTATGCAATTTTTGCGATCATTTGGCGTTCAACTTGCTCCGTAAAATCACTTTACGACTTTGATGAATGCCGGTTGCACTGCATATCTCAAGGCTTAGAGGTGCATCTGTAGTCCAAACACTGGAGAGTGAAAAGTTTCTAAAAGACGTTTGGCAGAAAGTGGAAGGTTTTGACCAACTACGATTTTACGGTTTTCTCCAACTTTCCCGGAGCTCTTTTCTGTGGGCATGAAACTGTATGGTTTCTTAAAATAGTGTTTAGCGATGTGATTTGCACATAACGTCGGAATTTAAATTCGTTCTGTGCAAAACAGAGTACAATTTAGCTGAATTTCGGAGTGGTTACAAACTTTCGGCCAGCACTGTATATGCGCATAGATGAGACAGCAGCGAAAAAATATGAAACGCTGACTATTCAGAAGCAAACTTCTACTCAATTAGTCAGCACTTCAAGCCGCTTGAATTAGTTCACTAAGAACAAAGCACAATTTTTTTCCTTTCCTCACAAGATTTTTTGTGACCCTCCCCTCCAGTCTTTATCCAAACATTAATATTGGAAGGATCAAGTTAGATTGAGATCGAGAAGAGACCCATGTCACCAGACGCATCCTCAAACGCTGACTTCAACTTGCTTTCCATTTACGCCTAACCAACAAAAGAAGTGATGTGTGTTCGAGAGTTTAGATCTGTAAACCTTGAGTAGCACAAACTTAGCAAGAAGACACGCAAACACCTACTATGCGAAACTCGAATGCGTGTTTCCTTTCTTTTGAATGTACCTGCTACAAAAAACAACTAGAAACCTTCAGATGTTGCATCGTTTTGTGTGTATGTATATCTTCATTTCATTTGATGTTACGATATGTAGAAAAAATCGCGCATACCTTTGGCAAGGCCTAGTATATACGGTATGCAACGAGATAATTGCACATAATCAATCCAGGAAACATTTTTTTATGGTAACAATAAGACGAGTAATTCGCTTACCTGTAAGATAGCCGTGTCGTTCCGGCGCATCAAAAATTGTGGTAACAGCCAAGTAGTAGTTGTTCGATTTTTATTGAAATATATCGCAACATCAGTTAGATCAATTACATAGTCTTTATAGCCTTGATCGCCATACGAAAACGTGTCATCAACTAGCGGGAAATAGCCAAAGTTCTGAAAAGTATAGAAGAACATTTGTAAGGTCATGACGAGATGCCCGAGCTCCTCTATTTTCATGCATCGCAAACAGTAATCTCTTTTGAAACTTTTGTAACAAAACTCATGGGTGTGGCTGTTAGAGTGACCCTTTCCTAATTTCTAATCCTCGTGAACGATGTACCATGGAGAAGCTCTCTTCTTGCTATAAAAATTTATTGAGGTTATTAGCCCTGCATGTTCATTTTTACAGACTTTCAAACGAGTCCTCATCAAAAGTTTCTTGCAATATGGCCGAATGGCCAAAAAGTTTTTTGAAAAAATTATAGTCAAAGCACACGCGGAAGGAATCTATTGCGTTGCCCCAAAGCAAACTCCATTTTCAGATAAATTGAGCTGTTTTTGTTTTTTGAGAGATCTAGGGGACATTCGGTATAGCGAAAAACTCTACAAAAGAACTACCAAAGATCCACTCAGTTCGTAAACCCACGTAAATTTGAAACCAGATCAAAATTTCTCAGCTAAACTCAGAATTGGATCTCTTCCCAGAAAATTCCTACAAACTTTTAACATGGTTTTTTAACTTTTAACACATAAAAGTACCCATAAATGTATTTAGTGGGTTTTTTCCGGGGCTCAAAATTGAGAAACAAAGGTGGTCCCACAATGCTAAAATGTCACTTTTTTCGGTTTTTATATGCAAAACTTGGTATTTCCCTATTATAAGAGCAAATGCAGGGGTGCTATAAGAATGCAACGTTACCTGACATATGAGACTGAGGTCAAGTTCGACAGGGAGATGATCTCCCTGCCGTGTCATCGGAGATGATCATAGTGATGATCTCCCAAAATAGTGTGCTAACGAGGAGATTTAGAGAAAATTCTCGTAAATTACTTTTGAGTAACTTACAGCACACGTCAGTTTAACGTCGAAGTGGAGCCACAGTGCAAACTGACTACTTAACAAGTTCTAACAAGTGCGGCCACATCTCCGCCTCTAGTTCCAAACACATAGATGTGGATGTGTGGCGAACGCGTCTTGACTTGTATACTTGCATAAACGTGATGTGCGTAATCTTATCATCGTGGATAGCTGGCAATATCAATCAGGATTAACTGAGGCAAAGCTGACTTGTCGAAGCCTCAAACGAAGCTTTTCTCAATTGAAATCCAATGAGGAAGCTTTAGTATGGGCCATAAAAAATCAAGAATTTCTAATATAGAATTGCAGAGAAAAGGCCGGGATGTCACTTTTGACTTTTCATCTTTATCGCAACCATCAAGCACTCTCCATTCTGCCATTTGGTACTGGTGACTCGTGGCTGCACAAATTATCCGGCTTTGTTCGGTCCCATTCCCACAATGGTAGTCATCGTTCGTCTCGCGTACACAGTATTTCCCTGTCCTAATCCCGTTCTAAACATCAGCTTCTTGTTCCCCTGTTTTTTTTTAATCAGTCTGCTTACTTATCTCCCGTGTCAAATTCTAGCTTCATAGCTAAATTTCGCAAAAAAATTGATAACATCGGTAACGGCAATCGGTAACGAACTTCTGTTATGATCGTAACCAGCATGCTCACTTACTTCTTGTGCATACTCAGGCCCCTTGTTCAAAAATGCCTGCAAGAAGTGGATAATTTAATGCAGAAAATAACAAAAGTGGTCGACAACCGTAGATGTTCGTGGCGAAGTTTTCAAAGTTTGGCCCAGGACTGCCCAAAAGTGAAAATCTCGTGTAATATATAGATACCGACGTACGTTACATACAAACAGACATTCAGCTTTATACAACATATACAGAACTGGATCTCTTTCTATCTGTCTCTATGTATTTGTATGTGTCTGTGCGTATGTTTCGAACAAAAATTTTTATTTTCAAACCGAACCAGACCAAACTTTGCTCACATACACTTCGGGGCGGGGCGGATATTATAGGCTACCTTTTGTTAATGATTGATGCCGATTTTATTGATTTTTTGCAAACTTTGAAATACGGCGCTGGGAATGAACATATGGGACACTTGAGGGGAGGGAGAGAATAAATGAGCATGTTGTTTACGAACACGATTCAGTTTTTGAAATTGTCTATTACTTTTATGATTTCATCGATTTTTTTGCAAAGTTTGAGTTATGGGAGTTGGAAGAAAAGGGAGGGGGTAGGTGGACATGCTGATTGAAAACAAAATAATAGGAAGTTGGCATGTTGAAGAAGGTACAGGGAATGATTGTACAGGAAAGGAAATGGGAAATTTATTATAGTGTTTTGAGAGGGCCGGACGGAGCCAGCTGTACCAGTTAGTAAATATATAAAATAAGCTGGAAACTATCATGTGCTGTCGAAGCAGGAAACTGTAGGATACCATTTGACAAAGAAAAACGAGCTCTAGAAGACAGTTGTAGAGCATTTGCACCAAGCAGAATGTGCCAGAATTTTGGAGCCAAAATGTAAAGAGTTCCAAATGCCCGAAAAAAAGGAAAATGCATAAAAAACTTTAAACATCCAGATTCTCAGAAAGTTGCCGAGAGTAGGCGACCATGCGTTCAGACAAGCGGCATCGGGAAAAATGGATTGTTGATTGTGTCGATTTGATTGTTGAGCCACGTCCGAGATTGGTAACAATATTTATTAGGCTGACGTTTCGGCTATGTCGCCTTCTTCAGAGCCTGAAATGGGCGACAACAATCCATAAACTATCCGATCAAGCATCTCGTCAGCGTCACAAGCAAATTTCTAAGCTTTCTTTCGGATCACAAGCAAGCTGCCACAATACTCACTTTTTCGATCGCCGGTGGAATTTTTAAGTATAAAGGAGCGCTGACTGATCGCGTGAGTGGATAATTAAACATTGTCTTCATCGGATCAGAAAATCACGCGCAAGGATTTCTATATTCACTTCAAAATTCACTCTTCGATTCTCGTGCACTCTGTGGACGCCTAGTGGAGTGGATGGGCGTAATCTTTCTTTGCCTCTGAGATGTTCTTTGATGCGTACGCATAGTGGGCGCGCTGTTTCTCCAATATACTCGTCACCGCAACTTTTGCATGAGATGAGGTAGGCAACCCCTGTACTCATACAGTCGCCATCCTTTGCTGTGGGACATATCAGACAGTTTGGCGTAGTGCAGCTGCGGTCGTACATGCCATTCCGAACAAGAATGCGTTTCAAATTGTTCGGGGGCATATGTAATACCAAGACCGAATTGTCCAACCCTGCTCTCCTCAGACATCGCCGAATGACGGCACTTCATTAGAGATAAAGGGTATACAGAATGGTATCTTTTCTGCTGTTTGCGAATCTTTTCTCTACGTTACTTCTTTGATGGGCCCTACATTGCATTATCTTATTTTCATAACCATTGGATGAAGCTATCATACGTGCAACGGCCAACGACTCCATCTTCTCTTCTCGACCACTACAAACATTCGCGGCTGTGCGAAACATGTTTCTGACCACAGCTTTTTTTGTCTGTAGGGGATGCGCTGAGCGGGTATGAATCAGAATGTTCTTATTCGTAAGCTTTCGATACCACTTCGTTTTTTGGCTGCCATCAGTGATGTTCACTTGTACGTTCAAGAAGAGCAACCATTCGTTGGTGGGCTTTTCCCGAGTAAGTCTTACGTGTTCCGATTGTGTATTCATCAACTCAAAGCATTCATCAACATCTGCTTGAGTGGCACAGATGATGAAGCAGTCGTCGTCGATGTATCTACAATAAAGCAGGGGACGTAACTACAACACTGGTTTCTCAATTTTAGCCATAAAAATTACCGCTCACGTTGGTGCCAACCTCTGGCCCATGGCCAATCCCCTTATTTGCGCGAAATAGTTTGCCAACCATCTAAATACGTTGCATTCTAGACACGATTTCAGCAAGATCATTATTTGGGAAAGTCTGAAAAGTCTTATGGCTTGCTCATGCACTATCAGAAGTTCACAAACGGCCTGCATAGCGGAGTCATTAGATACATTAGTGTACGCTTACGTCGAATGACTCCATGACAAAAGATTTATCAATACGTGTTGCGTGAAGACGGTCTAGGAACATGTTTGTATTGCCTAGATGGGAATGAATAAATTCAAGTAAGTGTACCAAGATATGACTTAGATACCATCCTATCCTATCTGTGGCCCATCCACACAACTGATTATTGGCCTAACCTTGTACGTTGCGGGGTCTTCAGATGCGAGATCGCTTGTGGATTGGATTTTGGGTGTTTTGATTAGAAGATAAAGTACTGGGCAACGTTGGCAAATCATTTCTAAGGCGGCTAATGATATCAGGTGGTAAGTTTGCTGCCTTCGCTGTTTTCGTCCATTCTCTGTTCAGTTTGCGGTATTGTTTTGAAACTCATCTTTTGTGGACATTTCATAAAGCGTAGCATCTTGAAGATGTCTTTCTGTTAACGCAATGTCTAGAAGATGAAGAATGTTGATTTGCTTTTGGATTGTTGATCGTTTGTGAAACGGTGATGCTTCTAGAAGCACTCTCAGAACGCAACGCTGCTTTTCGAACGCAGAATTGCGCAGCATGCTCATGGATTTTCGGCGAGGTCTATGAAAATGTAAGAGGCCGCGAGCTCCATTGTCAAAGACAGCACAGTCTATAAGTATTCCGCTAAAGAAAGAACCTCCCATTACGTACTACTTATCCCAGTGACCTGTTTGCCATTCGGAGTGCTACCTTTGTACTTGATATCCCCAACTAATAATCGCATTTCTTTAACCAAGAAAATAAGAAATGGCGTAATAACTTATCACTGCCAATGTTTTGTTAAAATAATACGTAATTTAAGAAAAGAATTTTTGGGACATATCTTTGGTCTATATCACATATCAGTTTTCAGCGAATCGCCTACAGCACCTATCAACTCCCTAAGGTCGGGCTGTCGTTAATAATAGGTATTAAAAATCTTTATTCTATCATACCTGCATAGTATTATTCTTCCTGTCTTTATTCTATAATACCTACATAGTATTATAGAATAAAGACTTCATTACAAAAGAGTTATTTACAATCAAACAAAGGCACTTCTTTTTGGGACACCCTGCAAAGTGTGCTGCAAGGCAATTTGACATTTTGGTCGTTCTTCTCTTTACCATACCCATTTTAGTAAATTATCTCTTACCGCATTTTTCTTTTTGTGTTTGTCGTCTACGTTGCTCGGTGACATTGCGATTACAATAGCGCACTTATGATAAACATAGTTTATATCAGCGGTGGAGTGCGCCACATTCTGCGGCAATACAGCCTAAGCGAAAGAAGAGCAAGGAAATCCCTTTTGCGTTTGATGTTAGAGTGATGCAATTCATCTGATACGTGCTCCTGGCAACTCATTTGTAATACTTACTCCTGCAATAGTCGTCGCTTTGCAGCAATGCTTTGAGAAAAAAATCACAAAGTTTGTCATTCAAACTATACGCGCATCATGGGTTTCCAACAAAACTTTGTAATCTAAACATTACTAGAGTTTGTGAGCTTTTACGGTGTTGAAAAATTTTAATCGAGGTCTTGGTGACCCAATATGACATTTCTCACACTTAATAGGCATTCGGCCGTCAAAACAATCACGAGACGATCGAAGGAAACTACGAATCCATGGCGTGAATGCCTCTTACAACTCAGAAACATTTACCGGGCGGCAACCGGGCGATGAGACCCTTCCCAGCCGGCGCGCCAACATTTGGAGCGCAACTTAGAGACGGCCGACTGGTCAAATTTTGACGGCTGACGTCCGCCCGAGGCGCAGAAGCGCGGCATGCACCAAAATGCGCTTACCGTTGAAAAATATCAGCATATCCTAATCTTTTTTATTTTGAATTATTCACGTTGCCGTGTTATTCATTTCGACGATAGTGCATCCATGATTGGTGGATTCCTTCGAGGGATGGAGGCTATCGTACAGTTTCGACAATATCACGACAAGGACATTATAAATTGGAAACTTTGAGCGTAATACAAGGAAGAGAAACATTCTTAAGATTTGAATTTGGAGCAAAAACATGTAACGAACTGATTTATAGCGACAAAATTGCAAAGTACCGCGCGCGATGATACAGCCACTGGCCGGGGAACGTGCATGAACGATCCGGACGGAAAACGATGTTCCGCCAGCCGGGCGCCGGCCTATGCGAATGTCTGACAGGCGGTGTCCAGCCGGCGATCGCCTCGGTCGAAAAGACAGTTGCATCAGCCAGCCTTCGCCCGTGGCCGGCCGGTGAGTATATCTAAGTATGCGTTAAAAAACTTGAAGGACCCTTGCAAGCAAGCACACCGGTATCCCGCAGCCGTTCTTTGACTACTGAATGCTGCAAAGTTCTTTTCTGCAATAAATTCATTCTGTAGCTTACGATGCTTTAATATGAGAAAATGGCCATGTTTATGAAGAAAGAACAATGCCAACGGGCTCCTGATCCGTCATACCTTTCATCGAAACAAGAAACCTTTGACAGCGTCGAAATCAATGCTATTTCGTCAGTCAGTAGGTCGATCAAGAGTGAATCTATTCATGTGAGGAGTTGACCGACTGCTATAAAAAGTTCAACAATAACAGCTATATTTGCCGGATAAGCTTGATTGCATAAGGGAATCGAAAGGCGGCACAGCCTTGCCAATGATCCAACGCGGCATTGCAGAGGACGAAGTCATTATGCTCTGAAAAAAGAAAATGAAAAATGAGGAACTCTTCTGAACTTTTTGTTTCGCGGACGACATCGTTTCTTATCGCATAGTGTTACTGAAATGAAAACATGTGGAGGAAATGAACGGATACGGAAAAAGATAGGATTGCGAAAATTATAAAAAGGTATCAGTAATAGAAGAACACTCTTTGCGATGGCAGACCCACATTCGAAAGTGGTAATTGAGGTAAGCTATGTATAATCTGAATCAGCGTGATATAAAATTTGTGTTCATCGATTGCCAAGCGGTATCAGACCGTTGCAATAAATTGTTTAGGTCAAGTTTTATTTGGTCTTTGATCCTCTTAAATTAACTGTTGAAATTTTACCATGATTAGAGGATAGAGAGCTTGGATGGTCGAGCGGCGTTTATTGATCGCTAATGACACCGGGTTTAGCCGTATCTCCTTCTGAGCCACTCATCCTTTCTTGTTTATAAGGCGTTAAAGAAGCCATATAAAGAGAACACAAGAATTGACTTACTCGAATTTTTTCAATCACGAATTGGCTGTGTCCTCCAAGCCGTTCCAGAGCTTGATGGCTTTGCAGACAGCTTCTATAGTAATGCTGTGCCAGTTCAAACGTTTTAGAAGGTATTCTTCTTGCGTCTATCAACAGTCCTGGAGTGTTGAATGTTAGCTATGTGACAAAAAGAGAAGTGATGTGAGAAGAGAAGGCAAATAAAATTTTCTCGCGTGAGCCAAACCAATCAGCCCAATCACACAAACCGACAAAGAATCTTTATATCACAATTGAAGGTAATAAGGTCAGAACTCCATCTTCCTCAGCGCACTTGCAGGCATGAAGATGCTTGCAAAAATTGTCGCCTTTGGCACGGTATATCACGCAATTTTTTCAAAAAATTTAGTACGGCAAGTTATTGCGGGTTCACAGTCTTGCATGGATGATAAAAGCATCATCAAAAACAGATGAAAACGTGAACCATCGTCCCGTTGTGAGGGGTTTTAATCTGAAATATACAGGGTGTCCCAAAAATGTGCTTACTGTTTGATTGTAGATAACTCTCTTGTAATAAAGTGTTTCGAGAAGCTTTAGGTACCATTTTGTAGAGCGAGGTTAAATTTAGATTAACAGTATGGAGCGCATCATCTATTGCTATTCATTACTGTAGGATTATGGTAAGAACTTCCAGCATATGGAACCTTCTTGAAATATAGCACAATGAAATTTTTTTTCAAAAAATCTGAAAAATTTGGTTTTCGCGCATGCTGATTCCACCTAACAACTTTTTACGAGTGTTTTCAGCTTTTTTGACGGCGTAATTACATTCTTGACAAATGTTGGGAGTTGAGGTATTACGATTTACAGGGAATAACTTAGGAAAGAAGCATCACAGTAAAATGGAAATTTCGAATTCGAAATCAGCGGTTTCCATTACCGTACTATGAGAGTTTTTGGCTTGTTTGATTTTGTTTCGAGACAGAATAGAGCCTTTAATGGCCTAAAATCTTTGTCGAAGTTCGTACCGTAATCCTACAGTAATGAAGAGCTATAGTAATTCTCTCCATACTGTAAATCTAAGTTTAACACGTTGAGGACAGCGCGCATTTTCAGTTGTCTGTCTTGTGGGACAATGCCTTCCATAAAGTTGAAAATTTTCAGCTAAAATTAAGCAGATCGTCGTCTGCAATAAATCTACGGTAATTTTAGAGCAGAGAAGAAATGCGGTAGTAACCCGTAGAATCAGAGCGTAAGAGAAGTTCTGAAACGAATTTACCTCAAGATTGTATTCATTTTGGCGAATTTTTAGCCATGATCCACCATGTGAGTGACATTGTCCACGTGGCAGTCATTGCATGACCACCATGTGGGTCACGCTGTCGTCAATCTGTTAACACGTTGACGACGAGCCATTTTTTTGAGGTCTGTCCCTGTGGACGAGACGTTTCGATGCATCCCTACGCGTGGCCCATGTATGTATGCATGCATCCATGCACAAAGTACAAAGTGTGCAAGCCTCGCCCCCCTGGCAAACTCCGCCCACTCGATCAAAAATGTCGGAAATTGCCCAAATTTCAAGAATTTATGCGATTTCCGCCACTTTTGAAGTGGGCGGAGCCTACCACGCAGAGGTCGGAGCTTGCCTGACGGTGGGCGGGCCTGGCTAGAAGTTGCTTGAAGTCTTTGCGTTCATCTACAGCCTCATCCATGCTTTTTGTGGACAAAAAGGATCCTTTGAGAGGCATAAAAGTGGGCGGGATTTGCCAAAAGGGGCGGGGCTAATACATGAAGTACATCTGAGCCTATGTTGATTATATGAGCAAAAACTGAGAGGATTGGACAGATAGTATTGAAATTAAGGCCGCCGCGCACCATTGCGCGGCACTGTCGTCAACGTGTTAAACTCCCTCTACAAATTATACTTAAAGCTTCTAAACAGTTCATTACAAGAGCGTTATTTACAATCAAACAGTAGGCACATTTTTGGGACATCCTGTATAAAGTTCAAATTTTGTGAGTAAGTACGTTTCCGCGAAGTATGTTAAGGATAGAAATCTTTGCGAGTGAACCAAAAAGCACCAAAGTTTGCACACATGTGTTATCAACCCCTGCGCCCACGATAGACTACTTTTCGCTTAGTGGTTCTACCGATTCATTGATTTTTAGCACTTTGCGATATAAATGAACATTCATCAATCGTTAACAAAATGCTTGCACATTTTGATGTAAGCAATGCAATAAACTTTATTTTCATTTTGAAGTGAAGAAGATGCAACTACTCGAAATCGTTTCGAGGTAAGCTCATTCAGGAGAGTAAGCGAGGAGCTTTCAGTACCGGGACTACGGAAAAAGAAGGAGGAGGACATGGCTGAACCGAACGAAAAAGACGGGAGGGGGGATAAGGTGTAGCCTTGACCATTCTCCTAAAGTATGACCCAGGCTGGACCGGGAAGCCAGCTAGCCAGGAATAATGTTTCAATGTTGACTCAAGACAGTCTTTTGCATTGCCCGCAGCCTGTTCATTCCTGGACCCTAAGCACCTTTTCAAAGTTTGAACGTTTGTAACTCTATCAGAGTAAATGGCAAACATAATAATCATGTTTTTGGTTTGACCGAGTTTATCAAAGGGGGATGTTTTGTTTAAATGTCCGGATCTTATTGGAATGACGTCATAAGCTGCAAACTTTCTTGCGAGCTTAAAAGATTCCTGTTTTTTCTCTTCGCCGCTGCAAACCTCTGCGACTGTTTCAAACATGTTAAGCACAAACGCTCCTTTTAGTGCGACCAGATGGCCAGATTTTTATAAAATTATTAAAATGTTGCTGTGGTACCATTTTACACAAACGTTGCCATTCAACTGTGGGTGGGGCATGGTGACGAACCATTTCCTTGTAGAGTGACGCTACATCAGACTACTTCATTACGCAGTTATGGCGAAAATCAACTTGTAGTATTCGTTTAAGAAAATGCCCAGTGTGAGGCGAATGAGATGGTAATAGGAGTTGCAAGACATTTCTGTTGCTCCGTGATAGCCGAAATAATGCACACGCGCATAAAGCCGACACAAAAAATTGAAGAAGTTCTTTTCAGTAGGCAAGATTCTAGCCAAGTCGAAGTCAGCATTGTGAACATCATGTACGTTTAGGCTTCAGGCTGAGCTTCGAATTTGCTTGAGGCTCCACTAGAAATATTGTGTGAGAATTCTTTGTGGACTGTGAGTATCCAGCTTTTTCGCGGGATAGCCGATAAAAGAGGAGGTTCCTCAAGGTAAATGTTTGTGAGGTTTTGCACAAAAAATTGAAGAGTTCTTGATTTTTTGGCGAACGTCTACGAGAGGTGTGAATTTCACTTTGATACACGTTCTCGTAATCCTGAAACATTCCCTTCCTCTTCTTCTACATCCTTATACGATTGCGAACAATGTTTTATAAATGGACAAGCCGGCAAGCATACTGTCAAGCATGCGTTAACAAAATTCAATGAAGCAACTTTTTGAATTCTACCTTTGTAACCTACAAAGGCAAAAAAACGCTTTTGCAAGAATTCGTGAGATCCAACGTAGTGATGTTGCAAGAACGACATATGGAGATCTAAACCACTTGAACGGACCCGATAACCATCACCTGTGGAACATTGCTAATAGAATAACGGTATGGCTGCGTTTTCTGTTTGTTATTATCGTTATCAATATCTTTTTTGAGCTGAGATAGCGAGCCATTACAACAAAAAAACTGCAAAGGTATGGAAAATGCGGGGAGAAATGCTCCAGATACTAATGTTTCTATTTGTGTACACACTCAGACAGTGGAAGGGATACCTCCGGCGGGCATATGGCGCTAGTCTGCCACTTCGCGCTCCGGAGCCCTGCCATTTTACGCATTTTTGTGCTCCGGGGCTCTCCCAAAAGTGGCGCACCTCCGGAGCAGAGAGAGATTTGCGCGTTGCGGAGAGCGGTCCCATTTATTCACCGTGACGTCACGGTGACGTCACAAACAGGACGAATGGGACCCCTCTCCGCGACGCGTAATTCTCTGCTCCGAAGGAGCGCCACTTTTGGGAGAGCCCCGGAGCACAAAAATGCGTGAAATGGCAGGGCTTTGGAGCGCGAAGTGGCAATCCTCCGCTGGGGGAAGCCCGCGACCCTGCCACTTCTGCTCCGGAGGTATCCCATCGTCTGTCTGAGCAGTTGCTCAAAGCTATGGAAGATAAACGCGAATATTTCGTTCAGGCAGGTTCTTACAAACATTTCATAAAATTTATGAGAATAGCAATCTAAGTCAGTCCAACGCAAATAGCTAAGGATTGGCATGGAAAGAAAAGAGAATGCATATCAACAACTTTGGTCTTTGTATCAGCTTGTACTGGAACGAGTAAGTTTCAGGAACATTTGCAAGCAAGTGTCTTTCTACAAAGTGCATTGAGATCACGGATCTCAGATAAATCCAGGAATTCTCCGTCAGAATGAACCAAACCGGAGGAAGAAAGCACTGAAAACCCGCTTGAAGAGGTACAAAAAGTGTTAAAATGTAAAAGACAAGTTGGTAGATGCACGGTTTGACAATATTACCAGTATTTAGATTTTGAGGAAAATAAGTGGGTTTTGGACATGATGAATGAAGCCCTGAAAGGACGTAAGTTTTGAGGATTCTAGGTGGGATCTTAAAGATCGAGAGTTGCTGTGAATTACCAAATAATTCATTGAAGGTTTAACAAGAATCTGAGAGAGACAGATGAAGAAAGGAACAAAAATTTGAATGAATTGATACACAGCAGAGAGACAGCGCCCTCTTCATGTGCCTGCAAATGGCATTATACGTCTGAGAAAATCGTTTTCACCGCTGTACACTGCAATTCTCAAATTTAGATGTGCGCTTTGCATTTTCGAGTCGGGGAAATGGATCCTTAGCGATTTGAGAACATCACAGCAAATAAACAATTTGATAACTAATTTATGTGCTTCAGCGACAGAAGTGCCACACCAGCTCTTGAGAATGCTTCAGAAGTTAGAAGAAAAAGAATGAGAAGGTTCCAGAAGGATATTTTGGTACCGAACAGTGCATTTTCCGTGTATGTATAAACACATGGTTGCACCTTTTTTGCTCATAAAAATGTGATTTTGTCGTTTATTTTTTCACTTACTATCTCAGTGCAATATCAGTCTATGCCGCTGAGCATGCTCATTGCATTTGTATTTGCATGTAGTTAGTTTTGTAATCAGCTATAAGTTGTTTTAATAATTGTTTGTATATCTTTATTCTTCGAATTCAGCCGCCAGCACATCTTCTGTAGCAAAAGAAAGAGCAGGGGGGGGGGGGGGTAGTGCAACGACAGTAAGCTGTCAAATCCGTCTTCAGAAATAAGTGGCATATTTTTAGAGGGAGAGAGGGACAAGGTATTGATATCAGCCCGCCAGAGGCACTCCGCTCGTCCGGTCTGATGTACGAGTGGATGAGCGGGCAACTATCAGCGGGATAGCGGAGGGAAGGTATTATGATCGCCCGCTAAAGGTACTCCGCCCGCTCGCTTAATATCTCTAGCGGGCGGGGGGCGTATCTCGAAAGAACGAGCGGCAACAGTCATCTCGCCCGCTCAGATAATCGCAGGGAGCGGGCGGCCATGCGAATTTTGAGCAAGCGGGCACCGAAAAAATATTTCGTTGTTTAGTTTTTTGCGGTTGCTTGCTGACATTTAGAAAAATGTTGGTGAATTTTTTTTCTCGGATGCTCGAAAAACTATCGCGGTGTCCCTGTGGATAGGATGCGGCGCAGTGGCCGCTTTTTGCGGGCTTTCTGCGAGAATATGCAATAACATTGGGCGCCGCACGGTTCTTTGTGAGGGACCGCACTGCCCAGGATACCTTCCGCTGGGAGAAGGTACCCCAAACTCGGGTAATCAAACCATCGATGACTCCTTTGCCACATAGAGTCTCACCCTTGCTCAACGTACACTCGAAACTGCCTAAAAAGAGTCCGAGCGCTTGCTGAAAATTTGGCCAGCCCTCGTCGAAGGAAATTATTTACCGAGCGCTTGCAGAAAATGCTGTGTTGCTGCCCAGTGGCAGAATGAGCGACCGCAAGGGAAGTGCCGCCGGCTGAAGGATTGGCCACGCTCCAAAATTCTGCTGACCGCCTGCAGAAAAGCGCGTGCCCAGTAGAGCTGCGGTCGTCCGAATTATTGTATGTGTATGCATTATTACTTATAATGAAGCGCTAAGCCTGTGCGTCTTTATGTCCATGTGTGTTCATGTCTGCATGTCACGAATTCATTGTCAATTCACACAGCACGCTGCAGAGAAGCTCTCAGGGCGCATTTGCATAACATACCTTAACACTGTGTAGGTTCACTATGCATTAGACGAACACGTGTGACGCGTGCCATAAAAAATGTACCTTGTACGGGTCCATGCGGCACTTGAATTAAGAACTGGGTCGGTCTTTGGACTTTTCGCAAAGCTCATGGATTTGTTTGATAAGTATTTCAACCGTAGACTCTAGTCCAAAAAATATTTGTAAAAATCTAAATCTTGTTTGAAAAACTGCTACAAGTGGATTGCGCAGACCATCGGCTTGTCATAGTTTCATGTAAGGTACTGACAACGAATGCTTTGGTCGAAATGGCCTTTTTAGATAGGATGTACACCAAATTGTAGGGCACGGAATGCTGATTTCAACTTGCCTTGTTTATGTGTTTACGGACAAGGAGTTATGAGCGCTCATTGGCGCATACAAGTTCACAGTTTTCTTCCAAAAAATGTTGTCCAACTTTATTGATATTACACTAAAAGGCTTGAGAATGATTAGTGTTTGCAACTCAATAGTGATGTTCAGCATAGCGCGGTGAGTTTCAGCCATCATTATATAAGAACGAGGAAGGCTTACGAGTAGACCCAGTGCGAAGCAGAGGAATGCGCATTAATAAATTATAACTCCTTTGCAGCTATACAAACTAGTAAGTAAGGTAGAACTGTACGAAATGTAAGCAGCTAGAGGCATCAGTAAGAGCAGTCAGAAGTTATTCGCAAATTCTCTTTGATAAATAACAAGCCTTTTCTTACTTATTTTGAAGACCGCTCTAGCAATGATAGAGCAGTGAAGGACAAGAAAAATTGAAAGCCGCTGCTAATGATTGATCAGCACTCATACAAAGAGTCTTGTCTAGGTATAGCAATAGTAAAGCCCAACGTTTTCCTTACTACAGTCAGACTTTTTTGCGTCTCAAGAGATATGTTTGAAACATGAGACTTCCATCTTCTCAGCGCAGGTTGCAGTTGCTCAAAGCATTGTAGCTGCTTCATGAGTAACAATCATGCGATAGACCTTTTATGTCATTTTGTGTAAAAGTATTGCAATCGCTTCGAAGGTAAACGTCACCACTAGACATTTGGTGGGCAAATTGGAATTCAAACTGATACACGCAGGTTGTAGAGCGCCGCACCTTCAGCCTCAATTCAAAACGCATGCTTTTTCTCTGTATGCTATCAGGTTACCCATAATAAACCGTATGTCTCAAAAAGCCAAATTGTCTTCGTTTTCCTAGCAGCATTCGACGGAATAAGCAAGCTTCATATAATCATCTCCAAAAATTTACCCAAGTCATCCATGTGATAGAGCCAAAAATCAGAATTTTTCAACCACTTTAAAATAGGACCTCCTTCCGAAACTCTATGGAGATACAACTTGGTCGTTATACAGTACTTATACCCAAAAATGTATTAGGTGGATTTTTTTTGGTATAGTGACCACTTTGAGGTCTATAGGATTTTTTTGCAAAAAAAACACTTTTTATTGTAATTTTTTTCGATTTTGGTTTCAATTTACCTGGATTATGACATAGTTTGCTCTTTGGTTATCATTTCCTGCTTTGTTCTATTGAATAGTGCCCCAAGTTTTTACATCTGGTTCAACATGCATTGGCAATGCTGGTGACTAGAGTTAAAGATTGATTGTTGCTGAGGCAATGTTCCGTGTTGTTATGCTCGTTTCTTCGGTTCTATTCCCGGATAAAGATTTGAGATGGGGTTTTGCTCTTTTTTTTCTTTGGAGCAAGCAACATGTGCTGAGTGTTTAAGTTCTATATCGTGATTCCCATCAGTAGAGTTCCTGAAAAGCTTTGAGAAATGAAGATAGAAGTATAGAACATCGCTTAACAATAACAAAACCATAAAATTCAAATGCGAATACTGTTATCACACAAAAATATATACAGCGCGGAAAAGGCATAAGAGGCAAGCGACCGCATCGCAACTCTGTATCAAGTTCAACCGGATGTCTACTGAGATGAGAACGGCCACAACATTTTAATAAATTAGGAACTGGGGAGAAACCAAGATGGTGTGATAACGCCGTCTGACCTGCAACTAATTGCGTCTTATTTAAAAACATAAAATCTTGGCAAGAAAAACGTTGCGTCTTTTTTCTTCATTTCCTAACTTACTAGGGTTATTAAATGCAAATGTGATAGGAATGTCCCATTACGGGAGTTGATGGTTTTGACTTGCACTGGTTGGAACAAACGGTAATAGAGCTCTTTTTTTGTCGTTTTTGAGAAGCAATATGTTGAAGTATTGCCTTTGCGACATTCTTTTAGAAGAGAAAAAGCAGTATATAAAAACTTGTCTCATACTTACAATGTGCTTTCGCAATGAAAGCTACAAAATCACACTATAAATGACTGAAGGAGAACATTATAACAACTAGCAGAATATTAAAGTGTGATGCAGTAGCGAATTTCCAGCTTATTTCAGCAAATCTCAACATTTTCAAATAGGATGTAGAGAATTACTGTTTCCTTTCCGTGATTAAAACAGGCACACAATCGCACAAGCAATATACCTGTGACAGTCATCCGTATTTTTTCGGTAAGTTTCACACTGATGTCGTCGTCCATTCCTGCGTTTGTATTAAATTTGCCACATGCATACTGATAGAAGTTATCGCATGGGTGCACCTCAAACATAGATAATGAGAATATGCAAAAAATTTCAATAATTGCCCTCTACTTCAAAAGCTGAGAGTTTTTCATGCGGAAATTACCCCGTTTTGTAGGTTCTGCGACGCATTTAGTTACAACCAAGCATATGTTGGCTTCTGGGTGTCTAACTGCAGCGTACAGTCAAGTGTATGCTCTGACAGGGCCTTTCAAACTGTGAAGGAGCTCGACGTTTTTGATTTTGGCCGAATGCCTAGCTACGAGTCGACCGGTTCAGATTCACCGCATCTGGCTTTCCTAATCATTAAGCAGTCCCCGCTTTACATCGGACTCGGCGAGCGCGTGGATATATCAAGGTTAGTACGTCTGTCTATCAAGGTTAGTACGTCTGTCTAGTGTGTAGGAAAAATTTTATCATTCATTCGGAAGGAAAAAGGGTAAGAAACAATTCTGAACCTACAACGCCAGGGCAGAGTCCACAAACGCCAAGCTCTACGGTCTTCTTGACACTGCAGAGCGATAAGGCTTCATCGTCCATCCATTTATCGTTAACATGAGATCCCAACGTCTCGACTGGCCATGCTAACAAGAAAATAAATAGTACGAGGAGGCTAGCCACATATGTCTTGCAAACTCTAGCAGAGAAGTGAGTAACATAGCAGAAACTTGCGCATGCTCTTCTTTACAAAGCATCATGCACATCACATTATAAATATTGTGACGATGCATGATGCTGAAAGGATAGCAGGCTACATCATCATAACTTATAATAACGGGCTAAGTGATGTTTACGTTTGTCTGTCTGTATGTGTATCTCTGTCTGTCACAAAATTTGTAGAGCGAGTTCTAGCAACGGTCTTGAGTTAAAATTTTGGCCATAGCACTCTATAAGCATGTAGGTAAAGTGCGCAAAATCACAAGCCGATCCGTTGAGTGGAACGTATGAAAATTGTGCGCCAAACGGATCCATGCGACTTCTGGCGCGTCAATGTGGGCCTGTAATTGGATTTTTTCCAAAGTTGTGGATTTATCTGACAAGTAACTCCGCAAACCATGGACTTCAGCCCGAAAAGTGAACACAAAATCTACCTTCACGCAAAATCGGCGCCCAAAAGGAATAATTGCATAGATAGTCGATTTGTCAAGGATTTACCCAAGAATTCAAGAAGATTTTTGCTTAGAGATGTAACTCACGGTTGTCATCATCCTTATGGTGACTACCAAGCCATTATAACTCCAGTAAGCGACTCAAACCCACAATTAATCTTTTGGAGAGTACTTTCGCCCTCTTAAACTCACCGATCTTACATTAAAAAAGCTTTTGAAATGAGTAGTTGTTTACAATTCATTCCTGATGTTCGGCATCGCGTGGTAGGTTTCAAAAACATTATTTTACGACTTCGAGGAAGGCACGTAGATAGTAGAGTCAATGCGAGCCTCTGCGAAGCAGAGGTGACGCACTGGTTTATGAGTAACGTGAAAACATAATTTAGTATTTTTAAGTAGAATCAAAAACAAATATACTGGATCTATACGATATAACTATCTGTCTGTTGAGCAGATAGGAGCACTCAGAAATCACCGGAACTTCCGCAGGACAAGCCAAATTTGCAGAAGTTCCGCGGGACTTTGCTCACTATTGCAAAGTGAGAACGTTGAAAACCGAAACATCCGCAGAACCTTCTTCAAAATCTGCGGAAGTTCCGAAAAATGTCGGAGGTTACGCAGCACTTTGGCCTGCCAGAATTTCCGCAGGACTTTGAATGTGTTGTCTCGTGATGTTGCCTCGCCAACAACTAGAATGCATTATCGAACGTGTCAGCCGTAATGTAGAGGATAGTAGGTGGGTCTCACAGTCAACAGAGGGAGGTTCAAATCTCGCTGCGGTGTTCTCTTTTGCTTTGTCGTTGGCATTCTTCGGAACTTCCGCAGAACCTCATTCCAAAACTTCTGCCGCATGCTCACGGAACTTCCGCAGGTGACCCACGCAAGCGCTTTGCGGAAGTTCCGGTCATTTGTCTGAGCACAGCCGAATAGTGAGAAGAAGAGAATATAGCAAATTCCAAATTTTTTCGATGTACTGGTTATAACGAAATCATCCGATCGAAGGAGTGACTTTTAAGACATGATTTTTTGTGGTATTCAAATGTTTCATTGTAAAGAACACATAACATTATGCTGAAAAATCTGATACACAGGTAAAGAACGACTGCGAACAAAGTGTTGTGAATTGTGAAAAGAATCATGTGACTGAAAAGTGCAACTTTTTTGAAAAATTTTCCACTAATGCGAAATGGCAAATGACACGTTTGCAACGCACGCCTTAATATGTCTCCAGCCCTTGCATGTATGCGCCTGTTGAATAAAAACAAGGTACGAAATTGTAGGAAAAACTTATGCAAATGAAGAGTATGCCCAGCTTTTTACGAATCAATCTAACAAAAGCCGCCTAATGTCACCATGGGGGTGGCAAAACTTCTACTTTGTGAAAGTTTTTCGTAATTCTTGAAAAAATTTGATCTACACCTAGTGTAAGCAATTGCAAAGTCGACTTCGCTGTAGGCTGAACGCATGCGAGCGTGCGTGCAATGCGTCTACAGAGTACGGGTGCTATGATGACCCTTAAGCGCGAATGCCAATGTTAGCTTGCGAAAGACACGCTCGCGGCCTTCAGCCTGGTTGAACGGCAGCTATAATTTATTATAAGTCAGAAAATAGCTGCATAGCGCATTCATCGCTACAAAGGCACCCAAAAGGCGACGACGAGACAGCGATTCTGCCAGGCTGGCAGCGACCGAAAAACGTTGGGAAGGCGAATGCAAGGTTTCGCGCGTGCGGCATAAACGCTGGGATGGCCGTAATTAATTATTTATTAGTAATTGATTAATTAAGAGCACTGTATTATGGCTGCCAATTGGAAACCATATCGTCGCCCTCTCGAGATCCTATTGATGTACACTCGAAACGTTAGATGTACATGCAATCAAGACTGGCAGCTAAAACTCGCGTCATTCTTTGAGTTTATTGTTGTCTCATATTTTTTGATATAGGTATTATAATGATATAAAAGTTTAAGCGAAGGTTATTCGTGCATTACTCTTTACTTGTCCTTTCGTTTTTCTTGAGGGTTTTTTGGTCTAGAGTCAAAGGGGACTTCGTACGAAATTTCAAGATCAAAGGAGACTTGTTTTGAAAGTTCCCTGGTGCCAGCTCGTGCCAAACCCGTTTGTTCTCTTTTTGCCATTTTGAGATGGTTTGCCTAAATAGAGATAGATTCGTTCCCCTTTTAACTTTGTTTGTCTATACGAAGATTGACTTTGAAAAAAACCTCCATTGTAATTTCGGTGAAATTGACATTGAGAAAAAAACCTTCATTGTAATTTCAGTGAAAATGAACGTGATATAAAGCTTGAAAAGGTCCAAAAATAAATTTAATGTATATGAGCAAAAATGTTGACGCACTAATACTAGAACTCAATTGTACATCTGCTCCATATAGAGCCTCCGAAAAATGGTGACGATGGCGCGATCGCGCGCGACAGGCACGCACATTCAAGGACCGCAATTACTTGGTTTTCGTCTTTATTCCATGGTTTTTCCGCTTACGAATGATATGCAGTATGTGGACATCTAAGTGCTAAGCTGAGCACTGAGGTGATGACTTTTTATATGAATGGTCTTATGCTCCTGTGTGCGCAAGAACCGCAGTCAAATCCACCGTCACGATTTTATAAATGAGCTTAGTTTAGCCCATTGCTCAGCAACCCACGCTACCGCTTGTGCAGAGGGCTCGCACTTGTCGCTGTGCCAACTCGGGGTGAAATACGTCCATAACTTTACTCATAAAAGCAGTGGAAATACCAGAAACATGAGTTCAGCGTACCGAGGGAACTCATAATGGTATGGATCTCGTCTCGAAAAGCCACGTTTACTTAGGATTTTCTCTTGTCAAAGTTAATCGTCGAGCACGTAAGCCTTCACCCGCCACCCTCTAGTCCCTTGCCGGGGCACTTTAACACCGGAAAGTATTTGTGTGGCGATTTGAGCGGAAGCGTGCGCAGTGTGAGTCCTGATATTCTCCTATTCCTAAGTTTACTTCACTGAACGAAAATCTGCGGTCCATTCTTCATCTAGCAGTACTTGAGCACTATAAAACAAGGCGCCTCAAAAAATGCAACAAGTGCTTGATCGCTAATACATATTTCTTCTGTATCAGCAACTAACGCGGAGCTCTAAAAAGCATATGTAGCCTTCATTTTAGATTCGCAGTGCAAAACGACCCGGTTACATTACTCTAGCAGCCTCCAGCACAATGTCTTTACTACAAACCAGCAGCCATTATGGAGAATTTTGGATTGTGGAAGATGAATAATGACGGCACAAAATTGTTTGCTACAATATTTCGACCTCAGATAAAGCAGCCGCAAGTGTCAGGATACTCCATGCAGTAAACTCCTTCTGCCGGGTACATCAGCACTTCTTATTTTCCCAGATGGCGTCTAGAATGACTGTGTTGTCATGTTGTCTCGACCGTTGGTTCATTTTTTTCGCCTTAAAAAATCAGAGGCAGCGGCTTGGCAGATTGACAACTTTGGGATATTCATCGTTAGCGGTTCCCCTGGCTGAGCTAAGTCTAAGACTGTGCTTTTCAGCTTCAAAAGATATTAATAACCCGTTCTTCCAGACGTGGAAAATGCTATTCGGGTGGACGGCGTATCTGCTTTCTAGAATGCGATTGAATCGTGAGTGGAGACACGTATATATCGTACCCACGAGCCAATCGCGCTCTAGAGGGCAGGCATAAGCGGTCCGCCCAAAAAGCACTTTTTACGACTGGAAAAGCGGGTTGTTACTGTCTTTTGGAACTGCAAATTACAGTCTTGGATTTCGCTCATCCAGGGGAACCGAGAACGGTGAATATTCCAAAGTTTTCATTCTGCCCAATCTCTGCCTATAACTTCTTTTTCAAAGGAGCTCTGTAAATAGGAAAGCAGATTCGGAATCAGCATTCCAAGCAT